ATTCACTCCTCATGGAACGTTTCGTGCACCAATGAATGGAGCCTAAGAGGGGGCGTTTTTTTAATTGTATTTTATAAAACTGTGTAATACGAGGCTGGAAAAGGAAATTTTATATCAAATCTGCGCTGGAGATATAGAAAGATTATTTGTTGTACTATTGATGATTACAGCATTGATCTCGCTATGGTTTTTACTGGTGTTTTGTGGATCCAGATCTGCATATAGATGATTCTTTGATGATAACCTTGAAAATGCTTAGATGAAATTATATTTTTATCATTTACTGCATATGTACCTGTTGTCATGTCAAAGCAATATAAAGTTATAAAAGAGCCCTTGTTTGTTTTTTCAAAGTAGGGGGAATTGTTAGTAAGGCCAAGGAGTGAGGGAGGCCAAGGCCAACCTTCTCTTTACATAGTGTTAATACAGGGGTTTTATGCATGCCATGATTTACGATCTAGGAGAAAATATGTGATGTTTCAGGAATGTTTGAAGGTAGAGGTAGGTATAATTTTGGAATAAATCACCCCAACCCCACTGCTTTACGACTGTTTTTTTAAACTTGATGTTGGGATTACATCAATTGTCATCTCACTTTTATTGGTGTATGAAATAGACTCTACATGGATATGATGTATGTAGATAAATCTAGCGGGCAGTAACCTAGCGGGCATATTTAGTGAGGGGAGGGGGTGCTTCTGGCCTGTACCCCCTTCCCTTTAAGTTGCAAATGATTTTAGGTTATATCTTCTCGTGCCTACATCTATTGTTGAATTAGTTTTATAAGCTGGGTATGAACATACTAGGTCCATGGTATGAACATAAAAAGGAGATGCCCTCAGCCGAGTGATCCGATGACAACTGTCATAAGAAAAAAAGTATCGTCCTCTTAGAGCCAGAAGGGCGCTAACTCACATCATTTCACATCGAGTTAAAGTGACTCAGTAACATTGCCTCAGATTCTGAAAACAAAATCCTGGATTTAGCTCATGCTGCAATCATAATTATAAACCTGTAGGTCAGTCAGGTATCTCATGACTTTTACAAGCCAATCGTCTGTCTGATTTTCAAGATATTTCATTTTTTTATAACACTACAGTCTATTGGGGAAATTGGGTGTAGTAAAAATGGTCACTCAAAGATTTATACTTTTCTGAGGCACTTCATGATCATTTTGAAGTGCAATTTGTTTAGGGCTTCAATATTACACCATATCACAGACACCCATAACATGTAGGGCCATGCATCTCAGATTTAACATTGTTAAACAATGCCTTTAACATCCTTCTGTCTCTGAACACTGAGAAGTCATGAGAGACCCCATGGCATTAAATGTGAAACTAATCACAACAGTTGAGTCTGGTCGTCAGTACCAATGTCATCTCTCATTACTTCCATGCTTCGTCAGGATCATGATGAGGCTTTACCTGGAAACTCTCGGCTCCGACTGCTCTCCCCTTGATCCCCTCCCTGACCCTCAATCCCAGGAATCAGTAATGATAACTGTACATGTATGTACATCTCTATTCTACAAACAGTGCAATATCTCGTCCAGTAGTGATTCTCGAGGGGTTTGGAGGGGCTCATAACAGTGCAATATCTCATCCAGTAGCGACTCTAGAGGGGTTTATTGGAAGTGCTAAAGATATTCCCTCCCCCCCCCCCCCAAAAAAAAAAAAAAAAAAAATCAAGCCCCCCCTCCCTATTTCGTTTTATGAAGGTACATTTAGAAAAAGAAAGCAAGAACCCCAAACAACAAAAAATTCTTCAAGAATCACCTCCCCCATCACCCCTTCCCATCTAACATACTTACAATTGGCAATGATCCATTCTGTTCTTCAACAAGTGCTATATTTCATCCTATTTTGCATCACCTTCCCCTTCCCCTTCACCCATCTTCCCCTCTTCCCTCCACCCCCCCCCCCCTCCAACCACCCACCACCACCCCCAACACCCACCATCTTAACAATCAGCAATGGTATACATCTCTGTTCTTCAAAGAGTTCAATATCTTCATCCTATTCTGCGCCCCTATAATCCTCTATCGGTAATGACGTTTAACAAGAAAACGTATGGCGGGTGGTCCCCCGTGAAGCCGGCTAGAACAGTTGCGTCTGATTCACTGCAAGGGAATGTGGTATCCCTGCAATAATGGAGTGACCCGGTCGTTGGTTGTGTTTTGTTTACGCTCTCTCTTTATTACTTTCAATGATTTCCTTCATTTTCTTTATCCTAAGAAAATGAAATGTGATAAGATTTCCCTTGCAGGACTAATTGCATAAATACCATTTAAGACTTGTGTTTTGTTTACTTATGTAAAAAATATTTCATTTGAAAATGATGAACCCCAAACTCTGACATCAATACGACAAGAGGGTTCTACATGTTTGACTGGTTATCCATCTTATCTCGCACAAACACACAAATACTAAAAACAGCTAAATATCAACTAAAAACAACTAGTAGTTACTCATGACTGTGGTGGTTTCCTTAATCACCCATTCACCAACTGATCACGAATGCATTTTTGTCAATTTGTCATAATATCATATCTTATTACTGGTAGATTTATCTTGAAATGTATCACTAAATGTGTTTCATGTGCTTTTATTTTTAACTGAACGCAATTGAGCCTTCGTCCTGCCATGTTCAGTCTTTTCAATTATCTATTCAATTCAATTCCCTTGTATATTAAGCATTTTAGTTATTGTTCATAGTAGTATAGAAATGGATTCCAGTGCATCTTACATGTACAGTATAGACTCTATATTATGCAGTTATTTGACTTACTGATGAACTTTGTCAGGCATATTATTTCTCTCAAATTTTTAGACGAGTGGGATAGGGTGCTGTGTTACCTCACTGTCAAATACTAGCAGGCATCGTGTCATTATCTGGGATTCCATTCGTGCCTTCCACTTTGAAATAATTTCAGACCCTTTCAAATAAATCAGGACTCTTGTCACTTTACACATAAAGTTGATGGGCTTGCCATTTCCTGAAGTCTTTTTTTTCTTTGATGTCTAAGGAATAGATTTGAGAAAGTGTGGCACGTCAAAGCCGTTCTGTAGGGTAGGATGACGGTTTTCCTTCAATGCCCTTGTAAGGTTTATTTTTTATACTTGTAGTACTAATACTTTCCCCTGTCACCATTTGTTTGTCTCTCTTCCTTTCTATGTCCCTCTTTTCCCCCTATACCACCTCCTTCCTTTCTCCCTCCTTCCATCAGTAACTCTCTTAATAACTCTCTCAATCCCCCTGGCTTATTGCTCTCTCAATCCCTTCCTCTTGCACCTTCTCCCTTTTGCACTCTCCCCTTCCCCATCTCCCTCTCTCTGTCTGTCTTTGTCTGTCTGTCTCTCTCTCTGTGTCTGTCTCTCTCTGTCTCTCTTTCTCTTCACCTCTCTCTCTCCACCCCCCCTCTCTCCCCCATTCATTCTATCTTAAATTTCCTCAAAAGAGAGGGATACAGATTGAGACATTGATGTAGGAAAACTTCACCAACAGCAAAATCAAACTAGAGAAAATAAGGAACTCAAAAGATGCACCAATTCCGTGGGCCTAGAATCTGAGATGAAGGGAAATGCCACTAATGTCTGTTTAACATCATATTGATCGTGAGTCATTGACTCAAGTACCGGCCTCACATGTAGGTGATTACCCTCATTCCCTGGTTCTTGGAAACCAAGCTCCTCATCATTGCCTTTCCTTGGAATTCTACGACTGTTTTCAAATTCAATTTCAAAACAATTTAATATTTACAACCGTTTAGATGTTGATTCATTGTCATGACCTTTCACTTTCTTTGATTTGCCTTACTCCCCTTTTTTACTTCAATTATCAACCGTCTTCAGAACATCTGTTCCTGTATACACCATCTCCCTGTCCCCTTCCTTCCTCTCTCTCTCTCTCTCTCTCTCTCTCTCTCTCTCCTCTCTCCTCCCCTCTCCTCTCTCCTCTCTCTCCTATCTCTCCTCTCTCCTCTCTCTCCTATCTCTCTCCTCTCCCTCTCTCTCTCTCTCTCTCTCTGCTCCTCCCCCTCTCTCTCTCCTCCCCCTCTCTCTCTCTCCTCCCCCTCTCTTTCTCTCCTCCCCTCTCTCTCTCTCCTCCCCCTCTCTCTCTCTCCTCCCCCTCTCTCTCCTCCCCTCTCTCTCTCTCCTCCCCTCTCTCTCTCTCCTCCCCCCTCTCTCTCTCCTCCCCTCTCTCTCTCTCCTCCCCCTCTCTCTCTCTCTCCTCCCCCTCTCTCTCTCCTCCCCCTCTCTCTCCCCACCATTTTTTCCCTTTCACATCTTTATTTTCTTGAATCTCATCTTGTGTCATAGAAGTATCCTTGAAGCAGTGAAGACCGCTTTTCCCATCCTGGGTGATCCTGCATGATCCTGCGTTTGCTCTGACAGTTACCCCAGGGCCCCTGTTTCACAAAACATGTTATCAATAACAACTGCCACAAATTTATGATAAATCTGCTCTCAGCCAATTAGATGCCACGATTTTAGTAGCTTCTAACACTTATTGTAACTTGTTATTGATAACAAGTTTTGTGAAACAGGGCCCTGGTTATTTGGTCAGAACAGAAAGTCAGGCTCAGGAATCCAATTGAGTTTAAAGGCACACTGTCCTACTTGTACCTACTTGCTCCTATAGAAAACTTCCCAAATCGGTGCCTGTTGGTCCCCCATGATCTTCTTTTTCTTATTTTAAATGAGAGCTGAGTTAATGAGATAGCCACCTGTCACAGTGACCTCGATGGCTCACTGGGTGGTCTAATCCCTTCTTACTGAAGTAGTAAAGCCTCCCTTTAAGATTTGATATACCGGTGTATATGTAGGGGTTGGGGTTAGGTACAGTGTTTAGTCTAGGGTTGAAATGGAAATCGGTATAGTAACCTTCAAGCTGTCGCAAATGTCACAATCGTACATATTGTAGAACTCCATTCCAATTAATGAACATCAGTGTTGCCAATTTGCATTTAACGATACTCCACCCTTCTCGTACCACAGGAAACTAATCGAGGGTCTACTGGTAATAGACAGGACCAAGAGGTTAGGCTGCATGAGGGCAGGCTCCAACGACATCAAGAACTCGGATTGGTTTGAATCCATCGACTGGGAAAATGTCAGACAAAGACAACTCAAGGTGAGTTTTTGGTTTGGTTTGGTTTTATTTTCCGTATAAAAATTCAAATACATACAAGAATACAATTGACAAGTATAATACAAATCAAGAATTACAAACGGCTGGAATGCTCTATTCAGAGCCTTTATTAGAATGGTTCTGTTCTACCTAGAGGTCCAGAAGAGTGCCTTGCAAACATGCAGGACTGCATGAAACTCCAAATTACCAAAACTAAGAAAATTAAAGTTTGACATTTTCTGTACAGAGCAAATTGGAGAGGAGTTCGCAGGATAAGTCAGTGTTGCCAATTTGTGTTTCACTGATGACAAATTTTAAAATTCGTGACTTTCTTATTTTTATACGGATATGTCTCAAACTTTTACCAACTTGATTCTTTCTCATTTTTCTGCTTTTACTAAAACCAAGATAATATCTGGGGTTTACTGTGTTTGATCAAGGGTTGACTTTATCAATTTGGTGAGTGGAGGATATTGACTGCAGACCAATTGTTGCAGGAGCTTTACAATTTTAACTTTAAAGAGACAGTGTTATTCATTTAAACATGATAAATTATCTGATATTAAATAATTTTATGACAGAACATAATACATCCCAAAACACAACTTGGAAATGAAGACCCATATTTCTTGAGAAAAAAACCTTGAACTGAAGAGTTTCTTAACACATTACAAAATGCACAGAAAAACCTATTGATATTTTGCCACTTTGCAATATATTCCTCAGTGGACTTGTATGACACCAGATAACATATAAAATGTTTTATCTTACTTTATCACCTCTCTTCTCATCTTCTCTTCTAGCCTCCAATTGTTCCCAAACTATCCCATGCCGGCGACACGAGTAACTTTGATGAGTACCCAGAAGAAAACTGGGAGACGGATGCATCTCCCGTCAAGTCGGATGTCCTCAAGCTCTTCAAAGACTTTTGATGTCACCCGTCTCTTCTGCTCAAGAGGAGGAGGAGGCAGTTTGAACTCAAAGCGCAATTAACCTGTTGCTTCCTGGAACACGGTAGTCCGTGTGTTAAGCCTATGGAAGTGAGAGATTTCAGTGGTCGACTGTTAATTGTCATCGTTGTCCTCAAGCTCTTCAAAGACTTTTGATGGTAGATGTCTCTTCTGCTCAGGAGGAGGAGGCAGTTTGAACTCTATAGACGCTCGATCGACTCTCCCGTTGTCCCAAGCCCAAAGCGCAATTAACCTGTTGCTACCTGGAAGAGGCCAGTCCCTGTGTTAAGCCTATGGAAGTGAGATATTTCAGTGGTCAACTGTTAATCGTTGTCTGGGTGCAGTTACGGCAGGGTTTCGTGATGGAGTCTGGACAAGTCCTGTTGGCAATCTTGTTTTGTGCTGATATCTGAAAAGCGGAGAATGGACTCCTTGATCTCCAACATTGATGCTGTGAAACAGACGTTGAACGTTGGAGGGAGAACCCTGCGCATGCTCGTGGTGTCGTACAAACACACGGATTACATTGGTGACGCGAAGCCAGCTGTTCTACAAGAAGATGGTGAACCATAAGAGCCATGGCTCAAAACTAGGGATCCCATGAATGCGAAAGACATCAATCACACAGGTTCTTCCTTCAGTAAACTTGGTGTTTGAAATACTCATCCATTTGTTTGTCGGTGAAGCATTGTATAAAATGGACACCATCGTATCCATCAGGAACTTATTAATCGGGAGATGCTACAAAACAGCACGTTGAATTGTGTCGATCAGGTATGGGGAATCGACGGACAAAAAAATGGCTAGAGTTCTTTCTCAAAGTGCTTTATGTGTCTGTAAGAGTAACTTTGGAGGAAACTGAAAATAAGTGGATATTGTTGCAGCTTGAAAGTCTCATCATGTGGAAGAGGTGTTCAGTCTGCATGGTTGCTTTAATAGCAGACAGAAAGTATAAAAGATTAATGATAAAATATTAATGATTAGTTTGAAATATTTCGTCAAGCCACATATCCCGGTCACACTGACGAGATCGACACTACACCGACAACGGACAGAACCAAAAAATTTATTACACCAACCGAAAAGCCAAGAATCGGTCAGTTTGGATTTCAGCTTGGAGACAATTTGGCAATGTGACTTTGATATTCCAGAGTCAATAGTACAACTTTTAATGTCTTAGAAACAATAGTACCGGTATTTTGATGATAATCAAAATTAATCTGTTGAGTTAGTCATGAATAGGTTTTAACATTTAATAAGGCTTTAAGCAATGTATCCTTCAATGATCTATTTCGAAAATGAAACTTACAAGAGAAAACAAAAGTTAGATACTATATCCAAGTGCTTCCCTTTCTGTCTGCAGTAACCTTCCATATTTTGTACTTCAAATATCCAAATATTGACTAGGTACTCAGAAATGGTGTCTTCCTAAGATTATACATATCATGGCATTGTCTTGTAATCTGCTGTTGGTGATAGGAAAAAGTAAAAGCCCTTTTGCTTATCAATTATTTCATGTTTTCAGTTCTTGGTCCTAACTCTTGTATAGCACATACCATTTATTCATCAGTGTCTCAAATCTAGACTCTTATAATGTGCTTCCAAAGGGCTTTGGATTATTACCATGGTTCTGCCTATAACTCCTATAATGAAGGTGCTGAAGATTCAAGGAATTAATTCCTACCGATACCAATTTACTTCACCTGGGTCAAGTGTGGCAAATATAGATTAATGTCTTGCCAATGGACGTCAGTACCAGCTGGGATTTGAACCCTGTATCTTGTGATCTACAGTCCAGTGACTGATCCACCAGACCACAATACATTCACATTATGTCCAAGAATATACTTGCTGCTATAGTTTTTAAGGTTTGTTTTCTTTTTATGCTTTTATTTTGACAAGTATCCCTTACAATAGATCCATCTTGTTCTGACTTTGAGTGGGTCTTTCTTTTTTTTTTAATAAAGAAAACTGAATGCTGTTTGTAATTGGGTAAATTTGTTTTTGTATTAAAGTAATCAGAATGATTATTTGATTAAGTGTAAGTTAAATACCTGCACTTGCATGTGATATTTCAGACTTGCCAACGTTGAATACAATAGATGAAATTACATTTTGATTTACAGTTGTTTTTTTCTTTGGTTACTAAGAAGTTCCAGGTTTTAAAAATGGTCAGCCTTAATGATCGCACATCTAATAATAATCCATTGTCTTTTATAGTGAAGATGAATTCATCAATTTATCTAACACTTAAGTTGTTGTTGAGCTCTTCAAACTCATTTTTAGATAAGATAACTTATGATTACAAATTGAAATCATGATGTCTGGCTTTTAACTCGATCTGTTTATATAAAAATTCAAAAAATCCTCCTTCACATAAAGTATTGACTTTAAATTGAAAAGTAAGAGAGATAGAGATACATGTTATTTCTGTACTTATAAGTTTGAATTCAAGAACTATTGTATGCATCAATTGCTGTAAAATTCCAGTGCTTCCTTCCCAAAAAAATCATAGTAGATAACAATCATTTTGTAAGTACTCGACTCAACATTTCACAAGATGTTTTTGTGTGGTACTATTGCTATATTTGGATCTCGCCCAAGTACTACTTTTGAAGATTTTATTAGATGACCAAGTAATGCTAGACAGTACTATAGTGAATTAAAGTAAAAAAAAGCAACGATTATGACTTAAAGTGTTCCATTCAACAAAACATGTTTTGCTGTTGATGTAAGGGATGTTATGTCACTATGCTATTTTCAAACTATGAGCTTCAAATAGTACTTGTAGTATGAAAACACTCTCATAACTTTAAAACAACTTGTTGATTAGAATAGTTGTAATAATAGGGCGCGCATGGATCCCAAGTTGGACTTGTGTTATTTGTGCAGGGTTTTAGGTCATTCTTTATCTTCTTCATATTCCTTAACCGTCAAACTCATAGGGTTGTCATTTAATTTAATTTGTTTTTTCGGTTGATTTTATACACTCTAGCTACACAAACAAGTTATTTTGTCAGATTATCAGTACACTTTACGATTATCTGATATTTTTATGTGAATTTATTTTGTTTACTTTAGCTATCTTGACCCAGTCTTCTGCTCAAGATCTACTTTTTGCGCCATTCTACGCAAAAGGTTTTCACTTGGAAATTTATGATATCCAAGTTTTCCTGAAATGCTGTGAACAAACCAAGCTGATTTTTTAATTTTTTATTTATAATTAGATTAGAAAGTAAATCCTTTGTAAAGTTTCAGCTTATTAGGCCAGCACAAGTGAAGTTTAATCTGTTTTGTTTAATGCAAGTAATAGTCTTTCACTACGTCACTTCTCCCCCCCCCCCCCCCCCCCCCCCATCATTATCAAAAACACTTTCCATTGTTTTGTACTCTTCTCAGTCATCTTGAAGTTTTATCTAAAATTCTGAAGTTTCCATTAATTTGTATTGCAAGGTAGTCTTCTAATCTAGCTGTTCTATTCAAATTTGTTTAACTAAATGAACATTTTGAAGAAAATTATTGTTTAAGACCAGGTTAATTTTGTGCCATATTCTATGCAAGGTTTTTTCTTTCCACGTACAGTAAGAGTTTATAATATCAGGTATTCAAGTTAGTGACTTAATTATCTGAGTCATTGTGTTCAATTTCTCACAAGTGAATGAAGAACCCCAATAAAAAGTTGTTTACACTGGATCAGTTTTATTTGATTTAGAGACACAATTTTCTGAATTATATCAGCAGTATAATGTAAGCCTAGCATAGGAAAATTACAACTCCCAGGATATGCTTATCATGTTAAATTTATTTACACTATTTGTTTTCACACAAGCTATATGTACAACAGAATTATGTGTGAATACAGACCCTGTTTTGTTTTGTTTACGGTAGGTAAATTTTTTAGGTGAGTGCCCGCATGCACTCAAAGTAAAATACATTTGTTACGACCAAAATCTGGTCTATGTCACGTCTGGCTTCATGCATCTGGAGGGACATGTCATGGTTCCTCTGTGTCCGAGATTGAAGTGAATTTGGACAATATTATGTAGATTACTGGTATTTGGTGTGAGGCTCTAAACGGTAACGGTCAAAGTTGTAATACTGTGTGCATTTTGTTTTCCAAATCGTCCTTTGCCAGAGGGATCCAGAAGGATGTTGTTGTATCTCTCTGTACAGATTGAATGCCCTTCTGGCTCTCCACAGACAAAACAATTATAATTCTTCTGTAAGCAACAACTAATATATCCTTATACGTGAACTTCCATCTTAAGATGGATAATAATTAAAAGCATTATGAAGTGCAGAATGATGCTCTTGAAATTCAAGCAATTGAAATAAAAAAAATTCACCCGTGATAGACCAATTTTTAAATGTTTGAACTTTGTTTAAACTTCCAAGCAAAATGATTATCATAGTGGATGTGTTAATAGATAAATTCTCTTTAAATCAAATTCAATACATTTCAGGTGAAAGTCCTTTCCCTTTGGAGAATAATTTTTAAATGTTTGTAAAGAGAGTATATTTCAAACTTCCATGCAAAATGATAACCAAAATGGATGTGTTATTAGAGAAATGGTCTTGAAATCAAATTCAAAACACTTCAGTTGACATCTTCTTCTGTTAGTAGATCAATTTTTAAATGTTTGAAAAGAGAGTATATTTACAACTTCCAAGCAAAATTATTATCCTAATGGATGTGAAAATAAAGAAATGCTCTTGAAATCAAATTCAATACATTTCAGTTGAAAGTCTTCTCCTGTGGTAGACCAATTTCTAAATGTTTAAAAAGAGAGTATATTTCAAACTTTCAAGCAAAATGATTATCCTAGTGGATGTATTAATTAATAGAGGAATACTCTTGAAATCAAATTCAATACACTGAAGTTGAAAGTCTTTTCCCTTGGTAGATCAACTTTTAAATGTTTGAAACAAGATTCTACAGTCAAACCTGTCTATTGAGGCCACCCAAGAAAGAGTGGCCACTGTAGACAGGTGGTCTTTATAAAGAGGTGGCTGCTGAGACTATATAGCTTTACTGAATTTGCAATTCCCAAGCAAAATAATTATCTTAATTGTAAAAACTTTTAAAGTTTGTCGAGACATATTTCTTTCTTTTTTTGTCGACCTCTAAAGTAGTATGTGTTATACCGTACTGATGAAAGATGGTATGCTGTATTTTCAAGAAATATTCATTTTTAACAGCAGTGATTCAATCATTGTTTGGAATTAATACTTTGGACTGATTTTTGCGTCAGTATTTTGTGAAATGTTAAATGTTGTCCTTTACCATATGAGTCATTAAACCATTTACACATATTATGGATGTGAGGGAAATGGTATTAGAAATCAAATCATGCAATTTTCAAAGTAAATATTGATACTGCACAAGTAATGAAATATCAATATCCACAAAATTGATAGTGAATAGTGATAAGAATATTCTGGGTTTGTATAGTGCTTATAAATACATCAACAATGTCTCTATTAAAGTGCTTTACAGATTGTTATAGTCAAGTGTCGGGTCAGGAAGTGGTCGCTTATCAAGTTTATTTTATGTGAAAAACTGCCATGCCATTCATTAAGGAAAATTATGTATGATTATCTGTAAAATCATACAGCGCTGAGAAGTGAAAGAGACTGTTTTAGTGAGACAATCTCATCTATATCATGTGAGAAAAAGGAGAAGAATATATTATTAATATTTGTAATGTATTTATTTGTGTGTGTGTCGAGTGCCTTAAGGATTTGAATAAATAAAAACAATAGAAGTGTTTCTTGAACGTTTTCTCAGCTTTATTTGATAAATAAATATGGTCGATATTGACTGTAAGCGATTTTTGAAAGGTTGTCAAAAAATATTGTAGAATTATAGACTATGTGATACAGGTGTGGGGAGGAGAATTCAATGAAAGAGAAAAAAATAATAAAATAATGACTGGATAGAAGGCCAGCTCATAAAGATAATATGGAATTAGTTTGGCTTGTATTTTGTTGTGTTTGAGTTGTTCTGTAAGTGAGTATTACTGTTTTAAAACTTCAGTTATTAACCATTTTACACTATGCTGATTTGGTCTCTGAAGAGCCTGACAGTTCTCTCTGAAACTTGATGATTCGATCATGTGATGAAACCTTATAAAAACATTTAGTCTTGGAAGACATATTATCTCTCTCTCTCTCTCTCTCTCTCTCTCCCATGTTACCCTGTCCTCTCCATCTCCCTTAATCGTTCCTTTTCCCCCTCACTTTTCCTCTTTCTGTTGCCCTCCTCTCTTCCATATCTTCCACTTTTCATTTGCTGTCATCCTCATCTCCCCCTCCCCATGCTGCTCTTCTTTTTTTTTGTTCTCCCGTACTGCCTGCTTATTGTTCCTTGTCTCTATATTGTCTCTATATTTTTTTTCTCCCCCTTTTTCAAATCTTTCTCACTCATTATTCTTCTTTCTTTCTGAAACCCTCCTTGACCCCTTCTCTCTCTCCCTCTTTTCCCCTCTTTTTCTCTTGCTCTCTCTTATCTCTCTTTGCACTGCCCTTGATCGGTCTTACTCCTCTCTTTTGGTTGCTCTCCCATGCTCTCCTCCCCTTCCTCTCTCCTCATTATTTTGCTTCATTTCACCATGTCCCCCTTTCTCTTTTTTGCTCTTCTCTAAATATGCACATGTTACGGGGAAACAGATCACAATTTCTTTCCTTACACAAACTGGTATTTCCAAATGTTTTATTCATCATGTAAAATCTATCAAAATCTGTTTACACATAATAAGCCTCATATGAAAGACATATATATCTGATCATTTGCCTCAATTCAACTCGACCCAATGCTGAAAGTAAATTTTTCAAACATTACCAATGGGTTTCAAACTATAGTATCATCTCATTTTAAATCATCTGATAACAAACGCAACTATATATTGTCTGCCGGAAGCCAGACAGATGTTTCTCCTTTTGTTTAATATAATGAGAAGCTGGATTTATAGAGCAACTAATGCAAAACATTAGGCAGTTTAAAACCCTTATCATTTAACATACCAGGGGGTGTTTCACAAAGATCCTAAGTTGAACTTATCTCTAAGTTGGACTTAAAAAATATGGAAAGCCATTAGCATCTTTGATAATATTTTGTAAAAGTTATTTTGAAAGGCATTCATTGTTTATTGAAATCATTCATATTTTCTATCATCAAGGAGATTTCATGTTCTGGATGTGGAATTAATAAAAAGTCTAAAATACTTGAATTTCTGCTTTTGAATATATTTCATTTAAAGACTCCAATGGCTGTCCATAATTTTTAAGTCCAACTTAGAGTTAAGTTCTACTTAGGATCTTTGTGAAACACCCCCTGCAGGTACTGTTTATGCCCTTCTGTCTCTCAACATTGGTCGACAAGGTGTCACATGACACTCATTAATTCGTCATTTTCCAAATAAGCATGGCATTGAATCACAAATACCCTCCATTTTAAACAACAAACATTGCATTTATATCGTCGTTCAAAATAACCTATATTCACCTCCGAATTAAGAATTTCCCTTGTGCCGTAATTGTAGTAGCAGCCTCTGCGAAATATAACATCACTTGGGAAATTTCAAATTTGTTGGTTCATATATTTTGTTATATTGAATGCTGGTGCATGCGATAGTAATGTAATATTGCCTGCTCAGAGCCAGAAATCTGCGATTAAGTACAAGCTAACACCCTTCTGGCTCCAAACAGACGATATATTCATGGTAAATAAAGAAGTAGATGGCACTTAACACGTTTATCAAGTTTTTTCTATCAAAATCAATCACATTAAATCATTATTATCAAGGATATACACTTTAGTACTTAATCCTGCATTAATTCTTAGCCAATATTTGGCTTAGGAATGGTAGAAATATCAATATTATGAAATACATATAAAATATAAGCAAGGATGGCATGACCTGGGGGCGTTTCACAAAACTTGTCTTCAGTGACAAATGACAGTTTTTGTTTTAAGCTACTAAAATCCTTGCTTCTGATTGGTTATCAGCAGATTTGTCACTGATTTTTGTCATTTGTCATTGAAAAAAGGCTTTGTGAAATGGGCCCCTGGTTAAATATGATGAACATATGTAGGGCAGATTAGGAATTACAAGGTATAAAAGAAATACAGCAATTTCATCTCTTCATTTATATGAAGAAAAAATTACATTAATAGTATTCTGAATCTCGTTCCCTTTCCACAGAAATTTTAAGTAAACATGTAAACAAAACTGTACTCAAGTGCATAGAGACATTTACATAGTGAAAAAGATGACAGAAATTTAAGTACTATACCTATACGTTTGAAGTTAATAAACGTTGATGAAAGAGAATAAGAATAAGTGAAAAGGATCCAGGGCCTGAAACTGAGTGTACATAGTGATACATAGCAACAACAAAAAAAAACAAAAAAATTGCAAACTTATATTTTTGTTATGGGGTGCTTCAAGTAACATGCTTTAATTGAAATAATCAAAGTCCTTCCTTCTAAATAACCCTTTCCACTCTGGCAAAATCAATTTTCTTCTTCTTTTCAACATTCTCGAATACCACCGCAGGTATCAGTATGTAGTATTTTCTGTCCAATATGTTGATACAAAATGATAAATATATATTTCATATTGGTATATGGAGAATAATTATTTCCTACATGACCTTTCGAAATGTTAGCACTCTGGTAAATCTATCCAGTAGAATGTTCAACTTCTAATGGTTTCTCTTTTAAATCACCTATGAAAAATGCTATACAAAGAGGTATACATATACACCTAGTTCTTTGCAATGAGTAGTTATTACAAGCTTTGGACAATGAGATAAGCTGTGATTAATAGAAGCTTATAAGCTGATTAAAGTAGTAGATAATCTGTAACATTTTTTCTTATCTTTCTCTTTAAAAAATGACCCAAATGGCCAATATCTTCTCCTTCAATTTGATTAATTGCTTACACAATACCCGTCATTGTGTTTGTATCCTTCAATGGATTAATTTGTTTCATTCTTTCCCCAGATACATTTCGTTGTAATCCTATCCTTTAATTGGATTCATTTTCTTGTCGGGTTGCAATTAATCCGATTTCCCATCTACTTTCTTTGTATAAACATACAGAACGGCATCAGATAATGCACTCTTCGTAGGAAAGTAGAATAGGGAAATTACATGTAGACGTGTTTGGGGATTCTTTGCATGGCTTCTTGCCCTCCAGAGGTTAATTAAATAAACATTTATTAAGGTTTGTTCTATGGCTTCCTTTCCATGTCCACCGATCTCTAACTGATGACAAAAGTATCAGTCAGAGAGAGAGAGAGAGAGAGGGAGATAAAGAGAGAGAAGGGGAGGTAGGGGGACAGAGAGATTGGAGAGGGGGTAGTGAGAGAGAGCAGGGGAGAAAAGAGAGAGAGAAGAGAGAAGAGAGAAGAGAAAGAGAAGAAAGAGAGAGAGAGAGAGAGAGAGAGAGAGAAAGAGAGAGAGAGAGAGAGAGAGGGAGAGAGAAAGGAAGGGAGAGAGGGGGATACCTTAGTAATAAGTCTTAGACCCTACTGGTGTTTTTATCAGGTTTCATCATATGATTCACCAAGTTTCAGACACGCCTATGAGCCTCATTCACACACAAGTTAAACTGGGTCAAAAACTATCCCCTGCAAACTTAACACCATTTAACCAGCAAGTGAAAGTGAAAACAATGTAGGTAACCTCAATAACAGCCTCAATCATATAATAGGATGGGGTTTGTGTACCCACACACTTGGCAAAAATAAAGCCATCTCATTTGCAGTTGGATTTTAGAACAAAAATATGCATCAAACAGTAATATGCATCAAATAGTAACGACCATTAGCATTTTTTTTCCATTTATGATATTGCCACCCCACCTTTAGGAAGACTCGTGGAACAGCTGGTGCAAACTTATAAACTTGATGGTACTCTGTTTGAAGCCAGAAGGGCGTCGACCCATTAACACAGGTCAACGCCCTTCTGGCTTCATACAGACCATACTGTATGTGAGTTATAAAAACAAAAATGTAGGAAATGCTTGTGTCAATTTATTTTGCCATGGTGGGGTTTTTAAAGGCAGTTTTAAAGTAATGTATGTGAACAAAGAGGGCTCTGAAAGTTCAAAGAAACAACAATGTGAAGATCACTAAGCTTAGACAGTTTTCTAAGTAATCTTTGTGAACAAAGAGGGCTTAGCAAGTTTAAAGAAACGACAATGTGAAGAGAACTCTGCTCGTGTCATTTAATTTTGCCATGGTAAGTATTTTAGGCAGGTTTCTAAGTAATATGCAAACAACCCTACAGGGAGGGTCAACCCATACAACTGCGACAGAGAGCAAAAAAAAGAAGAAGATTAAATCCTGCCCAGGGGGGCGTTTCACAAAACTTGTCATCAGTGACAAATGACAGTTTTTGTTATAAGCTACTGAAATCCTTGCTTCTAATTGGTTATCAGCAGATTCATCACTGACTTTTGTCATTTGTCATTGAAAAAAGGCTTTGTGAAACGGGTCCCAGATCATCACCCGAGAGGATGTTCTTTTGACCTGTGTTTAACCCCATTTGGCTTGCAACAAGGAGGTCTTTCAACTTATCTTGGCAAAAGAAGAAAAGCTGAATCAACAAAACAAAAACGGCCTTAGATGTGGCCTTTCCTCTTGAATTTAACAAGCACTTCAATTTGTAAGTGCAAGAACCAATAACCTAATCTACTGTAGGATTTTTTTCTTCTTTCCGATTCACTTTTCATTCACATGCAGATTTCACAATTGACCTCAAATACTGAAAATGCAGTAAAAACTATTACCGGTAATGAAACCAAGTTGATGCACTAGCGGCCTTCGGTGAGGCATTCATCCTCATTACCGAGTCCCTCGGAGAGGACATATAGCCGTCAGTCCTCTAGTTGCTTACTTACAAGCATACACATGCTTTCTTAGCAGTCAGGTAAAACAAGATTACATAGTTTTCTGAACACCACCCCAAACCAATGTATACTTCAGGTTTACGCCTTTCAAGATAGGATTTATCTTTAGGCCTAAATTTATCACAGGTTGTTCTTCAAATTGGCAACAATAGTATTTTCTCTCATTTCTAGCTTGTTAAAATAAAATGCTATATCTCTGAAAACGATATAAATTGGCGAGAATGTTGTGCAAAAGTTGGACAAATTTTGATCAGAAAGCAGCGATTCTAAATCTCTCAACGTGTTGCCAATTAAAGAATTTTAAAGTTTATTTTCCTATCTAGAATTTCTGGCATCAGATGAAATATAGTAAAGAAACAAATATGGATGGGGTGTGTGCCCATTCTACTCATAGTTACCAATTTAAGGACTTTAAAGCTTATTTTCCTTTCTAGAATTCCTGGCATCAAATTTAATATTGTCATTTAACAAATATGGATGCAGTGTGTGCCCTTTCTACTCACGGATCTGGCATATATTTTAGGGGTCTGAATCGAAAATTAATGAAACAAACCTCAAATTGTGGAAAGATTGTTCTGAAAGGGTTGAGGTTTATTTTTTCCTACACCTAAATTCATTTTCATCATATTCCATACGAATAACAAGTCATACTTGACAACAGAACAGACTACAAGTACATACTAACAAAAATACAAAATGAAATAAAAACTCTGCGGTCTCCGCCTTAAACTTTGTTAATCTTGCTAAATATTGCATAATGTAAATCAAATTATCACGTAACATAATATTCAGTTAGGAAGTGGAATTAAATTACCGCCAAATTGCAGATGATAAATAATTTCATAGTTTACCATTAGTACAGCAATATAAGACCTCTTGTAGTTTATCAAAGTCAGGCAAATTTGCCAGAATAATTATATAAAAATATGCTACTTTGTCCGATCTCCAACATATCTGGAAAAATTGCCTCGATGAGAACTGAACAATATACAGTCAAACCTGCCTTTGTGACCACCTGTCTACAAAGACCACATTTTGTGTTTCCCTTCAAAATGGTTTCTCATTGAAACATGTACTACAGGAACTTGTACTTAAAACCTCCTGCCTTTAAAGACCACTTTTCTTGTCTCCCTTGGGTGGTCTTTATAGACAGGTCTCAATGTACTTGTATATCTCATCTACAATGTAATATGGAAGGAGGAAGTACATTCTTTATGAAGCTATTCCTGAGAATGACATTTAAAGATAAAGTTGAGTTCTGGTCATGCGATTGCATTGAGAAAGAGATGTTGTGGAATCGATCAGAAAAGGTTGATCATGTAGCAGTGTGTACCGCAAGTTTCTGGAGTCATCAAAATGATAAGAAATTTTGCCCAGTCTTGTAAAGTTACGAGCACTGTAAACAGAAAGATGTATATGGGACTACACAACCATGTGGCATTAAAATCAACCTCATTTTTAAGCTGTTACTTGTCATATTTAGAATATGGAAGAGCCATGCTTTTCAGGGAACATTTTTCTCTGATGTTCTTCCACACATGCATAATAACAATGATAAAGCTCACAAATAATTTTTCACCTCCCTCGAGAACTCAACCTTCTCTTTAAACCCTGCATTCTCAGAAACGCAGACCTGGATTTGGGACCTTCTGGCTGTAAGAGCAAAGTTGTAGCATGTCTTTACTGCAGGATTCCATGTCTTGATAGCGCCATGGAATGAGGGTTGTAAGTCACGGGCAACTGAAAACAAGAAATAAAACAAAGTCAAATTGTGATCTGTTAAAGCTCCTCTAAAGTGCTGGGAGCCTAAAATTATTTACTTAAATAGTACAATGTGAAAGGGGACGTCATTTAACATACACTTATGTATGTACTCAAAGTGCATGACTTAAGTTAAAGCGTCTCTAAAGTGTTGGGAGCTCAACAAATTCAATGGCAAAATTTCACCTAAATTGTATAACGATGTGAAAGAGGATGTCATTTAGCACAGACTTCTGCAAGGATTTTCAAAACAAACGTGTTTGAAGACAAATATTGATGACAGAGTATCTAATTTTGTATTCTTTCTTTGTTGTCTAATGTTCTTGCATTCTGTTCCTCTTCTTGTAAAGTGTTGCGATTTGATTTTGATTCGCATTGATTGCAAGTCCCTTCATTTAATGCGAATTTACAAACTCATACTTCTTTAGGCTCGTTAAGCTACCTAATATGGATGACATTTCTCACCTCCCTTGGGTGGTCTTAACGTACAGGTATCACTAGGTATATCTTCATCAGCTCAAGATTGCCAAATAGCCCGCTATTTCTAATTTGGGAAATAAGCCTGAAGTTACAAATAACGTCTTCACCAGCTCAAGACTTTACCTTGAAATTCGAGCTTGTGAAATTAGCTTGAGATGTTTTTGCTCAGCGTTCACGCATAGTGCGAGTCTTCGGGCTGGTTGAGACGCACCAGTCAAATAGTGGGATATCTGTCAAACTAGCCCAAGATATCTTGAGATGATTATTTCGACCAAATATCCCGCTAATTGCAACTGCGGGCTGATGAAGACGTAAATTAGTTGGATAATTTGCGATTGGGATATTTGGCAATCTCGAGCTGATGAAGACAGGCCTACTGTATGTTGAATGTGATAGAGCATGCTTACCTTGGCTCCCAGTCTAGACAGATATCTGTTCCTAAGAGAAAAGGCAGACTGAGGCACGATATTACTAGATGTGGAAGGCAGTTCAGACTGTTGCACTTTCTCTCTGTTAAACAAGAATAAAATACACACAATGTGATATATGAAAAGGGATAACAATCATATAGGAATGGTGCAATTTCTCTCTGTTAATCAAGGAAAAATATACACAATGTGATATATGAAAAGGGATAACAATCATATGGGAATGGTGCATTTTCTCTCTGTAAAACAAGAATAAAATACACACACTGTGATACATGAGAAGGGATAACAATCAGTCAGACTGGGGCGGTTTCCCTCTATTAGATCAGACTGGTGCATTTTCTCTCTCTTAAACAAGAATAAACACACACAATACGATATACGAAAAGGGATAAAAAACAGTGAAAATAGGGCACTTTCTCTCTCTCAAAAAAAAAAGATTTCATGAAGATTTGGGTATAGAGAACATGGAGATAAAAACTGATGAAATAAAAGATTTCTTTTACTTACTTTAAATCTTCTTCCACTTTCTTGGCCACCGCTTTCCTCTCCCTGGTAGACATGTTGAGAGTTCCTCCTTTCGAAGCGTCAACGAAATACATCAACACGCAGCAGATGAGGGAAACTGAAATGACAATGATTCGGATGGATGAATATGATTATGATTTAAACAAGTTTAAGATTTCTCTTAAAGGGTATTTATTCAATGTTAAAAGTGTACACCCATGAAGTCAGTGTCCAACACTCCATGTACTTTTTTGCTTCTAAGTGGATTTTCTAATTTGTATGACTTTTTCTTGTAATTCTTTCATTTCTATTTGAAACGCATAGGGACATGCTATCCTGTAATGTGTTATGCGCTACAAAAGAACTGAGTATCATTATTATTTTTATTACGTCCATGGTTACCGTCAGGGGATCAAGTTCCGACCCTTTTTAATCATTTCATACTTTCCTCATGGTAGGCATTATTTAATCAGGTGTGGAGGCATTTTTACATAATTTGCATACATTTGCATACATCTTAACACATTTGCATCATCTACATACATTTTAACACATTTGCATAGATTTGCATACATTACCATGTGCATCAGGTGAGGGTTAGAGGTAGGGTCAGGGTAGTGGCTATTTTTTAGAAATGCACCCCTGCAAGAAAGAGTCTACAACTGATTGAATAATGCCTACCCTTTCTCGTTTGCACTATTATCATTAACTAAAACTTCACAGAAATATAATTGTGAACTAGATGCATAGATGGACATCACAATGACATGAAAGGTTATTGTATAAAAAACAGAAAGACTGTGATACAATTTTTGAATGAAAACAATGCAGGACTTTTTGATTTTATTATTTACTTTTCATGTCCAAGTTTTAATATTTTGTATATAATTTGCATACATTTGCACCATTTGCATGCACTGTGCATTTGCACACATTCGCATACTTACTGCATAGGCAGGAGAGATTGAAGACTTCATAGAGAAGGTAGCCATTAGAATCTACCAGCTTGCCTGCTACCACAGCTACTACAGCCAATCCTAGGTTCTGAATTGACTGCATACTGGAGAGAGAAGGGGGTAGAAAGAGGGGAAGAAGAGAGAGGGGAGAGAGAGTGAGGGGGAGGGGAGAGAGTGGGAGAGGGGAGGGGAGAGAGTTGGGGAGGGAGAGGGGGAGAGGGAGGGAGAGGGAGGGAGAGGGAGGGGAGGGAGAGGGAGAGACACACAGAGAGACAGAAACAGAAATACAGACACACAGAGAGAGAGAGACAGAGAGAGAGAGAGGTGGGAAGGGAGAGGAAGGGGAGAGAGAGAGGGGAGGGGAGAGAGTGGGAGAGGGGAGGGGAGAGAGTTGGGGAGGGAGAGGGGGAGAGGGAGGGAGAGAGAGAGGGGAGGGGAGAGAGTGGGAGAGGGGAGGGGAGAGAGTTGGGGAGGGAGAGGGGGAGAGGGAGGGAGAGAGAGAGGGGAGGGGAGAGAGTGGGAGAGGGGAGGGGAGAGAGTTGGAGAGGGAGAGGGGGAGAGGGAGGGAGAGGGAGGAAGAGGGAGGGGAGAGACAGTGGGATGTAGGGGAGAGAGAGGGAGAGGGAGGGGAGGAAAGAGAGAGAGAGAGGGGAGGAAAGAGAGAGGGGAGAGAGAGGGATATAGAGAGAGAGAGAGTTGGGGAGGGAGAGGGAGGGAAGGGAGAGACACACAGAGAGACAGAGACAGAAATACAGACAGAGAGAGAGAGAGAGAGAGAGAGAGAGAGCAAGAAAGACAAAGAAGAGGACAAGTAGGGTAGTGACAGGAAAAGTAGTAAAAGTAAAAAATTAGCATCATTCCTCTGAACACTGGATATAGCAAATACATAGCTCATTAGAGATGTAGGTTTATTATCAATACATAAATATGATAAAAACAAATCAGTGAAAGTTTGAGCAAAATACGTTTATGATTTGTCATCAGTAAAACCCAAATTGGCAACACTGTGACTTATCATACCAGCTCCTCTCCAATTATTCATGACAGAATAGCTACATGTATACTCCATACAGGGGTTGTATAAAAACAAATTTGCAATAATTTTATTTAGGGCGAATGTACATGTATGATTGAACATTTTCATAAAGCCCTTCGGTACTAGTTTGGCCAGGGGGGATTATACCACCCAGCGAGGTCACGAACGGGTGACTATATCATCAACTCGGCTCTCAATTAACATAAGAAAAAGAGGATTATGGGGGACCAAGGGGCACCGTTTAGGCATTGTTTTCTATATAGAGGGAGCAAGTAGCTACAAGTATCCTACCAGCTCCTCTCCAATTTGCTCTGTAAATAAAATTTCATGAACTTTCAAATGGTTGATAGCTATGATATAGTTGCTTCAAGATTTAAACTTACAATCCGTATGACGTCCCCAGCTGATGTTCGGGCATGATGAAGGCTACGATAGGCCACAGCGCACAGGCGAGGATAGAGTAAGCTATGCCCATTAAGCTCTACAAGATGGAGAAGAAAAAAAATCAAAAATGTTTTGTCATCCATTGATAACTCAGAAAAAAATTGATTGATACAAATATGGAATTAAAAAAATGGTAAACCAATTTTTACAGTGAGAAATATAGACCCGAAATGAATTTGTCACAATCATTAAAAACACAGAGGTAAATACATGGGACTGTGCATAGCACTCACATCCATATCTATATGTGGGACTTGAATAAATATCTATATGAGGGGCTAAGGATTTCACTTCCATTAAATTAAATTTTGGTTTTATCAAAAATATACCAAATAAAAAGTCCAAAGACCAACAATAATTGGCTCACATTGTATCATAAAAAAATACATTAAAACAGTAGATTTAAAAATTCAGTAGCAAGTACCCCCAAAAAATAAAAATGGAAAAAATAAAAGTTTGTAAATTATGCAATGGTGATAATCAATTTTTCAATGAATTGAGAAGAAAGAAGAAAGAAAGAGTGAAAAGTGGAAGAGGGGGGAGGGAAAGGATAAAGAGAGATAAAATTTGAAAGAGAGAGAAGAAAATTAAAACAGGGGAAAAAGACAAGAGAAAGATGATGGATGAGAGAAAAAGAGAAAAGAGAAAAGAGAGTTCAATGAAAGAAAAGAAAAGAAAGGAACCTACCATGGTTGCAAAAGGAGTGAGGAAGGTGAACGCTAAAGCCCCATGGGCAACCAAAGTGAGACAGATTCCCAGGGCAACCCAGAAGATGTTTTTTCACAATTATAAAAACACAGAAGTAAATACATCAGGGGTAATAGTGAGCACTAAAAAAAAAATAGGTTTTTTGTTTTCCCCTCAACCACGCCCCCCTTGAGTAAAAAAAAAAAAGAGGATTCGCGGGGGAAAAATGGCATCTAACACCATTCCCCCCTTTCGAGTAAGAAAATTAAGAAAAAAATAGGGCAAAATAGGGAAGAATAGAGAAAAAAAGAGGGAAATCTGGAAAATCAGGATAAAATAGGGGGAAAAAAAAAATTGTAAACAAAAAAAAAATCTGGATTTTTTTTTTTTTTTTTTTTTTAAATCGGGAAGAAAAAAAAAAATCGGAAAAAAATCAGGTTTTTATCAGGCCTGATACATGGGACTGCATATAGCACTCACATACATATCTATATGTGGGACTTGTATATGTATATGAGGGACTAAGGAACGTACCATGGTTGCAAAAGGAGTGAGGAAGGTGAACGCTAAAGCCCCATGGGCAACCAGAGTGAGACAGATTCCCAGGGCAACCCAGTAGATGTTTCTCCCCGTCTTGTCGACGATGAAACCGAAGAAGGGCGATGCGGCGGCAGAGATAAAATACACCAAACTGAAAAAATAATTAAAGGTGACAAGGAAGGGCAGGTTAGATATAGCAATAGACTACACAAGCATTACAAGATGTCTACTGACTAAAATAAAGAGAAAGGAAGATTTCTCTACTTCCACTTAGTCATATTAAATGCAAACTCACTGTGAAAGTCTAGAGTTAATTGTAGAGAGTGTACTAAAAAAACCAAAACTAGATGGAACTTTGACTGCGTGCAGTCGAAAATGATGCCTCCGTCATAGAGCAATTTTACAAACCAAAACAGAAGAAATTTTTCAAATTCAGGTTCAATTGTAATGCATTAACAGGTTCTCAGAATATCGTGATTACAAACAGTTTTTCACATATACATATGACCCTTTGATCTTTGACCTCATGACCCTTAAATCTACTCAGTTCATTAGATCTGCAAGATGTCCTGAGTTAAATAGTAATCCATCTGTCAGTTCTAATGAGAATGCATTCACAAGCTATTTTTGCATACATAATGAGCCCATGACCTTTGACCTTTGACCTTATGAACCAAGAATTTACTCAGTTCATTGGCTCTGCAAGATACATTAATAATCTAATTCTGGCAGGAATCCATCAATCTGTTCTAATGATAATACGATCACAAGCTATTTATGCAAACATAATGAGCCGCATGAACTTTGACCTTGACCTCATGACCCCAAAATCTAATCAGTTCATCAGCTCTGCAAGTAACATACATGAACTAAGTTTGGCAGGAATCCATCAATCGGTTCTTGAGATAACGCGATCACAAGCAGTTTTTGCATACATAATGTGCGCTGTGACCTTTGACCTTTGACCTCGTGACCCCCAAAATCTAATCAGTTCATTGGCTCTGCAAGATACATACATGACCAAAGTTTGGCAGGAATCCATCAATCGGTTCTTCAGATAACGCGATCACGAGAACGGGACATACGTACAGACGTATGTACGTACGTACGGACGGACAGACAACCTGAAAACATAATGCCTCCGGCTACTTCGTAACGGAGGCATAAAAAATGAACTTTCATAAAAGTTCAAGATTAGTCTGCTGCGGAATTAGAGATGCTTCATCGCTGAATAAATGTCATACAAGAATACATCAATGTTTTTGTTTTTTACTGAGATAATTTTTTCTGGTCCTACAATTAGTGCAGAACTTTATTTCAATCAGTAAAAAGAATACGAACACCAATCGATCCAAAAAAGTCAAGTATTGAATTCATGATTTTTAAAAAGTCATTGTTTACCTGCTTCTATATTTTACTAGTATCCCGAAACATAATGGGCTACATGCATAAAAGAGGAGCAATTGCTTCAATAAAAATATAAATCTCAAGCAATCACTTAAATCTATGAACATAACCTGTTGCTTGTTCTCAAAAGCATCAAAAGCATACCAGCTTGAGCTCTTGCTAAATCAATTACGGTAAGCATTATGTTCATGCTCGTAAAGAGCAAGCAATAATAATAATAATAATAATAATAATAATAGCTCACATTCATAATGCACCTAATACTTTGTTTTAGGCTTGAGTCGGTACGGTCGATCACACCGGGACCCGACCGTTGCCGTCGGGTCCCGGTTTCGTTTCTTGAGAACCGGCGCTCCGAAAAAAATAATGAAATATGTAAGAAATTGCAGTTTTGCACACCACTAAAATCAATCCACCCTAAAACTTAAGTATTTAATTGTTACTAATCGTATTCTAGCTCATCCAGAATCAATCCGAACTGCTGATATAAATATGGGTTGAAAAGCAGTTCGCCCCATGGGGTTGTTGTTGCCAGCTGCTAGCTAGCTACTGTACTGGCCGGGTCTCTCGGCAGAATTAATAAATCCGGTTGAAAGAAACATTAATGTTTGAATAATAAAACGACTTTCTAAAAAGTACTTCTTTACAACATACCGATCGAATAATTTTTAAAAGACAAAATATATATTTTTTCTTTGATTTTGAACACCGCATGCTTCTTTTAAAAGCTGAAAATGACTTGGTAATCACAAGAACTACGAGAGCACAATTGGAAAGACAACTACTCAAAATTATCGTAAGCAGATACATAACTTGGAGGAAGAATACAATAGTTGTCCAAGAAAAGCCACATAAATAGTGATATTAAATGAGTTACTATAGGTACAATCATTATCGGAAGGGCCTGCTGCAATATATCTAAACCTGTTTAAATTGAACACGAGGCAAATACCGCCCTCTAAGGTAAAAAGCAGTATAACAAAGGATTCGAGTATTTGCAGCAGGCCCCTTGCGATAAAAATGTACCCAGTTACTCCTCGATTATCACAATTTCTGTGGCATTTCTTGGGCGATTATTGAATTCTTTGTCCAAGTTATGTATCTGATTATGGTAATTTTGAGCAGTATATCTTTCCAATTGTGCTTTCGTAGTTTTTAATGATTTTTTTCTCGTTACGATCACGTCTTTGTTTGGGTTCGTTCTGGCACGCATTACAGATAACGAGGAGCACTGCGCATTTTTCCGAGACTAGTCTGAACTTGCCTTGCAACAGCTATTCGTATCGAAACTTCTTGTGATTACCAAGTAATTTTCAGCTTTTAAAAAAAAGCATGCGATGTTTAAAATAAGAGATAAATATTTATTTTTGTCTTTAAAATATTATATGATCGGTATATTGTACAGGAGAATTTTTTAGAAAGCCGTTTTATTATTCTAACATTCATATTTTTTGACCAGATTTATTCAACCTGCATAAATCAAAATGGCGGCTCGATTGTAGTCTTTATATTTTTGCTCGAGTTTTTTTACTTTTAGAGGCACGATAATGGCACTAAACATCGCCAATCATGGATGAATATAATGTCAAATGGAAGAATATACCAATCTGTGCCGAGGTATGCATGTGTTGATTTATTTGACTGATAAAAATGTCACTTTTAAGGGACATACTGATGATATGCGCTTTTTATAGAGGCAAGTGACAAATCCTGCGAGCTGATTTCGGGACACCGGGTCCCGACCGGTGCAAGGCCGTCGGGACCCGGTTTATGAAAATCCCGACATGACTCAGGCCTACTTTGTTTCTAGGCGCTGTAAATATTATTACCCCGGTCATCGGATTCAGGCTTACCTGCAAACAATGCTTGCACATTCTCCACTGCCTGTGGAGCATTCCGGCCAGTCGCCATTTTACAAGCGCCGCTTGCTCATCCAACCCATTTATCACCTGGGTGGAGAGTGGCAAATGTAGATTAACATCTTGCCAAAGGACATTTGTGCCGTGTTGGAGGTTGAACCAGGACCTTCAAATCTCAAGTCAAGTGCTTAAACCACTCGACTACAACACTTCTACAATTGCTTGTGCCATTTGGCAAAAGCTTTTGCCTGCAAGCAATTGCTTATATTTGTAATGCATACGCATTCAGGCAAAAGTCTAGCACAAGCAATTTCTAATTATTATGCATGTGGCCTAAATGTCTTTCGTTTGTCTACAGGACCATCGGGGCCTATTCCTTACCTGTTAACGAGATTTGCTTGTGTGGGTGACAGGTCAAACTTGTCTTCAAAGAATACACTGGATAGTAGACAAAAGAAAACAACAATTTTTTGTTCAACATACTGTAGTAATAGAAAGAATCTACATATCTGATTGGCTGGTGGAATATCACCTGACCTTCATAAAAAATAATGATAATAATTGTTACATTTAGAAACGTAGTCATTGGGTTGAATCGCTAATCCGCCCAGGATAGTGCACATGTTCCACTCCCTGGGGAGTGTTCAGGCCAGGCGTCAAGTGAAATTATTTTGGGCTGCACCCCTCAGAAAAATCGTACTTAGCCAGTCCCCTCAGAGAATCCATAACTTCAACCAGAGCCTCTCAGTGCATGGCAAACCTGCCAACCTCTGGAGTTCAAAAACTGTATTCTTCAATCCCCAAAGTTTTATTTTATGCTACGGTCACAAAAGTTTGTACGAACGATAATTTTGTATGAATCTCCCTGTTTTTCCATTGTCTGAAAATTGTTTGTACGGCGTTTGTAGCAGTTCGTAATGGCATTTGTGACGGAGGCTTTACTAACAAAAGTTGTACTCTTAAAAATACTGTTACGTGGATCAATGCCTCGTACCATTCCTACATACAGGAAGAAATTTTTTTATGGATCATTGGTTGAATATGCATGCTTTCATCACGACTGTTGTGTTTAATGAACCAATGAACATCCCCAAATTGCAGATGTGAGATGCTTGTAGGATACTTTACAGGACAGAATGTGCATTTTGCCATTGAAAATGGCACATACACACACAAAATTTTTGTTGTTTTTTGTTGAGGAAAATCGTACTGTCGTATCTTCTTCTAAAAATCGTACAAAATACGACTAAATCGTAATGGTTGGCAGGTCTGGCATGGTATATCTGATTACTATATTTATCCCTTTCTTTGAAACTTCTTTTCTTCTCAAGTGATGATGATACTCACATTCCAAGCCCGATGAACGGGAAAATGGAGACATAGTAGAACACACAGACGAGGAAGATGAGCCATAGAGTAAGGGGGAAGTCCTTGATATCAGTTAGCTTGATGGTTTCTCCTGCAAAAAAGGACAATGATAATAATAATAATAATAATGATAATATTCCGCATTTGTAGAGCGCCCAATACATCGATTCAACAATGTGTCCAAGCGCTTTACAGATATATTATTACCCCGGTCATAGGATTCAGGCTTACCAGTACACAATGTATGCACGTTAAGGCTGTGCACAACAGTGTAATGAGGTACCCGAGTACACTCCCAGGCTCACAAGCGAATACTCGAATATTCGGATGCCATGTTTTTTTATAATTTTTTTTAATTTTTTTAGATTTTTTTGGATTTTTTTTTTGGGGGGATTTTTTTTGCCACCACCATACACTGGAGCATGATCCCAGTTCTGTCGCCGAATGCATGCAATTTTACTTCGAGTTGCAGGCGCCGATTTGATAATAATAATAACAGTAAACAATGCTGTTTTAAAAACCAAAGATGGCAGAATAATCCATTTTCCTCCAAGTCCAAACAGAAATCCAGACATTTAGTCCCACTTTCTGAGTGGTGAGTTTGACAGTGCTCGAGTTGGGAAACATTTTTACCGACGGCACCATGCCAGCGGCCGCCGCTCACCCAGGCACGGGTAAGCGTCGGCCTGGACAGTTTTTTTTTTTTTGCGGCCGAATATTCGGGTACGAGAAATCGTATTATCGTACTATAGCTAGGGTAACAATATTCAAACCTCTTTGTTGACAAACATGGAATACATATCATGATTTGATGAGCTCTATACAAGATGTTATAATTATTACTTGAGTAGCACTATCACATATCAGCAGGCCTTAAATTAATCGACGGCCATCGACGGCCAGGCCGTCGATGCCCCTATGACTGGCCGCGGTGCCCTCCCAAAAAAAGATATATTCACGGCCAAAAAGGCGTGCCCTTTTTTTCAAACTGGCCGACGTGCCTTTTTTTCCAACTGGACGTGCCCTTTTTATTTTAAATTTGCGCACATAAAACCACCAATTGCGCCCATAATCATCTAAAACTAGACGGCAAGGCGCAAGTGTTTTCCGTGAAAATGCGCCCATAAATTATTAGAACAGTAAAAATACACGAATCACGAACAGTTTGCCGCCCACGAGCTCTCTTCTAGCTTCGTATTTAGTGCTTTAATAAGGCGCAAGTGCCGTGAAAATGCGCCCTTTGTTATTATATAGGCAATGCGCTAGCGCACGTACGTACGTACGTTCATATTATGCGATCGCATGATATGCATATGGTGCATGCTGTTGACGCACGCACGTACGTACAAATCGAAGGCCAGGATCAAGAAAACAAATCGTCAAATGGAGAAATAAACAAGCATTCAAATAGTCATTAGAGATCTGTCGAGGTTTGTTTGTAGGCCTAGTTTATTATTTTATCTCAAATAGAATTTAGAATTATCTTATTAATAAGTTAAGAACACCTACGATGTTCTCGATCGTAGTTACTCTCATTTTGCCACCAGCCGACCTCGCTTCAAAAAGCTACCCCGCCAGCTTCGCAAGACGAACGTTTCGAGTCCCGGTAAAATTCCGAGGGTGCATCGGTTTCGCTGGCAAACTTCCAGCCCGACAGCTTCCCACCAAAAGTGGTGAGAGTGTGTGTGCGAGGAACGATTTTGGTTTCGTGAATGCACGTTACGCAACTGAGCTGAGCGTGTCACTTTCAGCTGTCGAATGTCTATAAGGACATTTTTACATCTTATTTCATTAGTTAGGCCTATGTAGACCTTTCTATACAACAGTTAAAAAGATAATTTCTTCAAATTTGCTCCTACTACCGAGAGAGTGGCGGAAGGTTTGTGTGTGAGGTGCGATATTGATTTGGAATACCCGGCCCGGTAAACTTGCCAATTAAGTCCTTCTGACTTTCGATGTTTGTGAAATTGACAATTTATTTATTCATTTGCTCATCAATATTTTTAGTTATTTTAAAATAGAAGTCTACTGTTTAATGTGCAAGTTTGATGTTCTTAATTTTTTCCTGTTCATATTGTTAAGATTAAAAAGTTATTAAATTGATCGTTCGATCTATTCACATTATGAAATTAACATTTGTAGACTCTCTTCGAACTTATGATTAGATAAGCGGCCTATCTGTTTTAGGAAAATTGCCCCTTGCTCTGGTAAATTCCCGTGGCAAAGGGCAACTTAAAAAAAAAAATTGCCCCTTGCTCCTGGCTGCTAAATCTAAGGCTTGCGGGCCGCCGCCTTGTTTGCAGGCGCGTAGCCAGAGTTTGGTGTTTGGGGGGGCACATACATGTAATCGATCGAGGTCAAAAAAAGGGGTCTACAAAATTTCAACCGATCCTGGAAATTTTAGGGGGGGCACGTGCCATTCCTAGGATTGTTTTAAAAGGTTTGGGTATGTTTGCCTCAGATTCTAAACAAAATCCTGGATTTAGCTCGTGCTGCAACCATAATTATAAACATTTAGGTCATTTATGAATCCCATGACTTTTACAAGCCTATCGCCCTGTCTGATTATCAAGATATTTATGATTGGAATTCGAAATTTGAAAAACAGTTTTCCAACAGTTTTATAACACTACAGTCTATTGGAGAAAATGAGTATGGTATAAACTGGTCACTCAAAGATTTTTTACTTTTTTGAGGCACTTCATTGTAATTTTGAAGCGCAATTTTTGTAGGGCTTCAATATTACACCGTATCACACCATATCACAGACACTAATAACACATAGCGCCATGCATCTCAGATTTGTAAAACTGGAAACATTTTTAAACAATGCCTTTAATGTCAACATCATTTTCACTTACCCGTCTTTCCACTATCCCTCTTTAGTATTCTTGAAGCTCGAATGTCAAAGTATCCCAAGAAAACAGCGCACATGATGGAAAACACACACATTCCAGCTCCTAATGGTGGAATAAGACAATATGATACCCATAAAGATCAAAGTCACCCTCTCAACACCCAGTATTCTTTCTGGAATTCGACTAGACGTCTCACGCAGAATCGTTTGCTTAATCGTTTTACATGTTTCATATTATTGTACTGTTTCTTGTATTATTGTAATGCTAGTGAGAAGCATATATCCACATTGTGGACGAAATAAATCAATATCAATATCAATCAATAAACACACTATAACTGTAGAGCTGAGTCATCGCATTTTTTCTCCTCCAAAACCGTTTAAACATTTAAAGCAAACAGGCGGTTCAGTTTAACCACTTAAATTTTTTTCATATATATATAATATATAGATATATATTTTCAAATTTGCATCATTGAAGCTCCCATAGAGTTAACTGCCAATGTATCAGAAAAAAACGATTGGCAGCTTCAGTTTAAAGTTCAAAGTTCATAAGTTAAAAAAACACAACCCACTATGACAACCCTAGATCTACGCGTGAATTGATGCGCTATATATGTTGTTGCGCGCTTCCTCCGGGAGGATGTGTGTTGTAGTGAATGAGGATGAGAATCGCTCATGAACAGGATTTGACGCTTTCATATATAGCGCCTTTTGGCTCAGGTGAGCTAAAAATGGTAAAGAAAAAGATCTTAGCCACTTAACCAAAAAAATTCTCATGAACTATTATTCACAAGTGTCATAGGCCATAGGTCACAGGTCATAGGTGTCATTGAAGTGAAGTCCTACATGTACTTACCTATCCAGAGAGTATAGCCTAGTCTAGTGTAGCCTGGTAAACTTGGGTCAAGCAACTTGTAGATGGGTCCCAAGATGTTCATGTTTAATGTGCTACCCTGAAAGGCAAGAAACAAAATAATTGTGAGATCTTGAAAATCAGTTTTGAGAAATATATAAAACTAGACTTAATTTTTTGCCATTTACTGACATTCTTCCTAATTTGAGTTCATCTACTGCACTTATGTTTTTGTCCTCTTTGTATCAAATATTCCTCAAAACTTGTTTTCTCCTTCTTTTTGGTCCTGGGCCCTGTAACACAGATATAAGTTAGCAATTAACCATGATCAATCAATCTTACATTCAATTGCTCAGCTTTGTATTTCATAAAGAGTTCGTAAAGTTACGCATGACTTTACGAACGACTTGTATATGAAGTGCCAGATAGGATGCCCTAAGTTTTTTTCTGATATTTCCAATAACCTCAATTAAATTATGGCAAAAAATATTCTTGGCATTAAAAATGGTTGTTATAATAAGAATGTTAATCTACATCTGCACAGTTCAACTTAATAAATAATAATCAATAATTATTGAGCATCCCATTTGGCTTTTCATATACAAGTCATTCGTAAAGTCATGCGTAACTTTACGAACAGCTTTATGAAACACCCCCCAGGTCCCTTATCTCTTCATTTTTCTAATACCCATCCTGCTTCCTTTGATTCAGTCATTCTTTGTCTTCTCATTTCTTTGCAGAAAGCCACCTTTCTCAGAAGTCAGACACTTTCATCTTCTTTTCTCTCTCTATTCCTTTAGCTATCTCTTGTCTCTCTCTCTCTCTCTCTCTCTCTATGTCTTTCTGTCCGTCTATCTGCTCCCTTCTATCTCTCTCTCTCTCTCTCCCTCTCTACCTCTCTCTCTCTCTCTCTCTCTCTCTTCCTCCATTTCTCCTCTCTTCTACTCTCATTTATCTGGCTTTTTCTCTTCCACTTTCTCTCTATCCTCCTTTACATCTCTTTTCTCATCTCCCTCTCCCGATACCCCCCCCCCCCCCTCTTCTCTATCTCTCTCTGCCGAGAAACAAGGGCCAGTTTCTCTAAACCATCTTAAGCTTAAATCGGTGGACATCTAACAAAAACATGACTTCATTCTATAACAAATGTTCCACTGGGATGTCCACAAAGACTTATGATGGTTTCGAGAAACCGGCCCTAAGGTCTACCGTATGTGTACCACTCACCACTCTGGAGAAGCTGAGCTGCAGTCCAAACACCATGTTGAGTTCTTTTCCTTTGAACCATTCTACAGAGTAGGTGTTCTGAGCCACCGCTAGGTTCTCTCCTCCCAACCTGCGACGAGTCAGAGAAGTATTATTAATTATTGAAAAAGCATTCAACACAGGCCCAAATTCAACCAGTTTACCTTTCATTCTTGAGTTACACAAAAAAAAAACATCAAATTTAGAAGGGGTATGAATGATTTAGTTGTTAACTGTAGGTTTCCATGTACTCCCACAAACATTCAAACAGAACAGAATTAACATCATTTAAGTAATAGTAAAAGTGATTACAAGAAGTAAATGTCAGTCGTATCTTTACCTGAGTGAAATCTCAAGTCTTTTTGGGGGGAGAGGGGGAGGGGGCGCGGGCACAGTGAAGTCCTTTGTTGCGTGCAGTTTTCATTCATTTACACGTTTTTTAAAATGTGGCGATTTACAATGTCTGAACAAGCCTCAAATCTCTCAGTATGGATGAAATTAAATTTTCATGACATCTTAAAGCAATCCTTAAAAAATTGGAGGCACGATGGCTCAAGTGGTAGAGCAGTCATGATCTTGTGATCGGGAGGTCCCGGGTTCAAAACCAAGTCGATGTGCTAGTGCCGGCTTTGGTAAGGCATTATCCTCATTACCAAGTCCCTCAGAGAACTTAAGCCATCAGTTCCCTGGTTGCTACTTACAAGCATACACCTGCTTTCTTAACAGTCAGGTAAAACAAACAAACAAACGTCGAGCCACTCCCGCCACTCATCCTCTCTAAGCGCTATAGTTCTCATTAGAACTATAAGCTAAGAAAGATAACCAACAGTCTTTTTCAAGACTACACAAACAGTCCTTTTCAGGACTACACACCCCCAAGAAAGATTACCGAGAGTCCTTTTCAGGACTCCTCAATCCTCTCTCTCTCTCACATGGTGCACCCGCAAGCCTACTGTATAAATTGTTGAATGTAAACTTACCCAAAGATGAACCTGCCCACCAGCATGACAGTGTAGTTGTTCAGCGTTGCTCCAAGAGCAAAGATACATTGTCCAACCAGCACAAAGGCACCAAAGATCAGGGTTCCAACTCTACAGAAATGGAATGTTTATTGATTTCATTGAAGAGCAAACCGACCTTCATAATGACTAATGGGTTCTTTACATGATAGTAGAAAATGAAGAGAAACAGAGTGGCGAAAGTTTGAAATAAATCGGACCAATAATGAGAAAGTTATGAAGGGTGAAAATATGGAACCACTTCATTTGAAAATCTCAAATTAGTAATTTGGTCAGGTGATTGTGACATAGTCACAGAAAACTTTTCAGTTTGTTGTGTACAAAGATATTGTTAGTTTCAGTTTTTCTCCTAGGCACTTTTTCCCTTGGGGTACTACAGGTACTCAAAATATATCATATGTCCCTTAAAAAGAAAGAAAAAACTTCTGAGTCAAACATTCTGAAAAATTGACATTTTAGTAATTTTGTGAGTCAGAAGAAATGGAACAGTTGTCTGCTACTACATCACATTGACATTACAAATCCCTTACGTACATGTACAGTGATTATAACTTTCAACATTTCAGAACTTTCTTATTGTTTGTCTGATTTCGTTGAAACTTTCACTTACATGTAACTGCTTCCCTAATTTGTTTTTCTTTCGGAATAATTTGCTAATAAGGTTAGATTTTCCTTTAAGTATAGTTTTCTTTTTCATAGAGTACATGTATTACAGTATACCAGGAGATAAAGTAGAGGAAATATCAGGGGAGAAGGAATGTGAGAAATGTGTACCAGCTGTTTTAACAGTGTTGGACAGAAATTACTTTTTGTTTGAATCCCATACATCAAAACATACACCATGATAACTGCTTGGTTACAAAACTGAAAGCCATTAAACTAAGTAAGTTTAATATTTAAAACTAAACCCCTCCAAAATAATTTTTGAAAGTCAAGAATGATCTCCCATCATTGGATAATTATCACTTTGTTTATTTTAGTTTAGTTTTTCCAAACACTTTCTTCACTTATTTGACTCATTCATTTCCTTTATTCATTCCTATTTTCTGCCTTACCTGACGCCAAACACTCTGTCCAGGAGAAAACCGCCAAAGAAACAGAGCACAACATTCGGCCACGAATAGAGGGAGTAGAGAAGCATGAAATCAGCTGTGTCCTTGTGCATAACCTGGCAAGGGATACACAATGTTAAAAATAATAATTACATTAAATTTTGACAAATTGCATGTTTTAGAATAAGACTAGAAATTGTGTTATTGGCTGTTTTCACCCATATGAAATGTAGTGATTATCTTATTTATACATTTCTAATGCCTATAAATCTTCAAAATTTGTTTTAAATATTCATTACCGGTACATTAAATTTGGACATCTTGTAAGCCTAGAAATTGTGTGGTTGGCTGTTTTTGCCCAAATACAATGTTGTGATCTTGAAACTGATTCATACACAGACAGAATGGCAATTTTTTCAACTCGTAGCCAGGCCTGTAATTCACTTAATGTCTTTAACACGCAAAAGTTTTTAATGTTTAATGGTTGCCAAAAAACTTTGTCCGTCGTAGATAGCAAAAGAACAAATCTGTAGAAATCTACCGGTAAATAACAAAAATAATTATTGTTCAGTGAGGGGGGAAGTTTTAAAACAAAATTTTACATTTGTCCGTCTTACATGTAGATCATACACTTGACAAAAAATCCTTGGAAATTTAAATAAAAAACATTGATGAACATGTACAGTATTTAATAGGGGAAAAGTTTGAAAATATCATAAAAATGACTTGTATAGTCACTGTGATCATTCAAAGCGTTCATAACAAAGGATTTTTTTGCAGCAGCCAATAACTTTAATACCGGTAAGTAGAACGCATTACTTGACAAAGATGGTCAAGATCATCAAGTATTGCAATACTCTGCAATGAAGTAGACTGTATAGAAAATCCACTTGACTCATTATACTCATTCAAGTCTTTGCAAGATTATATGGGGAAATATATATTACATCATGACCATGCAGTCATGCACTATATCTAGAGAGAATAAACACAAATAAGAATGCCAGGAAGTGAAGTGAATGTACACTGTAATACAGAAAGGGATGTACTCAAGGAAGTCAGAGGGATCGTCTGACAATATGAATAGTATCACATGACCATTTATCATCCGTAACTGTTATGACAATTCAGGGAATGTATCCATTGACATTTTGGTACACATGTACACTTGTACAGTACAATACATGCAACAAAATGATATCATGATCACAGGTGAATCTGTTTTTTGAGGGATCCGTTTTTTGTTTTTGTTTTTCGATTTGCTATTTTGAATGTGAAATACAACTGATCTGAACTTTTCAGTCACTATGGATCAAAGGTATTTTTTTCTTCCTTCTTTTGCAATTCATGGTTGCTTGTCCAACAGCAATATATGCTCTACAATCTTCTTAAGAAATCCAGGGCCCCATGACATACAGCTTAGAAATTAATCGTGTGACTGATTTTTGCGATTGATTGCATCAATCACTATGCTAATCAATCAGAAAACACAGAATTTTTTTGTTAATATGCCCCTCTTCTGTTTCATAGACGCAGGCTATGTTACAGTGGAAGCCACTCCATTGATCCCTCGGGTAGGACGTTCAATGGATGCCCCATGTAGGGGAAAGTTACCTCCTTTGCCTTTCTGCTATTATTAAAAACCAACTTAATTCAGGGTGGACTTCCCCTTTTTAAACAGGAAGAATGAAGGAGAATACTTACATCTTTTATTTGAGGTTGGAGAGCAGATGGATTATCATAGCAAAAGTAGCTCCCTAATAATATGAACACAAAAAAGGAGGGGGTGAAGAAAATAAAATGAAAATTAGTATTCATGATAAGGAGTCAACACTATACAGGGTAAATTTGAAATATGATTTTTTTTTTCTTCCTTCAACATGTTCAAATTGCCCAATTCATGAATTTTTGCATACATTTCCAGAAGATGAAAAGGAAAGTTTACACTGAATATCTTTAAACTGTAAGTACCTTTAAGATTCACCTTTACTCACTAAGAGTAAGATGTTACTAAGAATGACATTTTTTCAGAGTATTCATTTATGCGACACATTTTTGCCGATACAAAATTTGAATGGTTCCATTGTTTTGACGATCCTCGCTAAATGCCACAGATTCACCGCTTCAAGGTTAATGGACTTTACTCATGGGTATTTTATTTCATTGAAAAGGTTGCCTGTACTAGTATGAATAGCGTTAATTGTCCGGTAATAGGTTAAGGTATCAAACTACATGTACTGGTACATACATTGAAAAGAATAGCTGTAGTGTTAGTTACTAATACTATGTTATTGTTAGAGTTACTGAATAATCACGTTCACTCTTTGACTTTGTCTGAAAAATATGACAATTCGTAGGGCACCTCGTTTTATTTTTTGACTGCTCGAGTGACCGAGGGTCAACAAATCTTAAGTGTCAAGTCAGAAACAATTATAAAAGATGTCCTCCAAAATATCATCTTTTTTAACATGGAAAATGACGTAAAATTCATTCATAACTGTACATGTACTTTGTTGAGCTTGAGGCACACGAGATAACAATTACGGTAACAACTAACATGGACAAGTTTTAGTTTACTTTATTACTTATTAGTGTTAAAAACTGTTATTGATAATGAAAGAAGTTTCATCAATATGGATACCGGTAGTTAATTAGATCTAGGTCTAGTCTAGTATTAGTATCTTACCAAAACTTAAGAAACAAATGAAAATTAGAATGAGGTATCTATGAAGAGCCCGTCTAGGATCACAACAAATTGTGGCTCCACATCCTGAGAGTTCAACATCATCATCATCATCCTTTCCCTGAATTTGATTTCTATCTGGACGTCCACTGAGCAGCGGTGCATTTTCATCATGGTTGTTTTCCGTCATCCTTGCACGAATATGCTGATTCTAAACTCCCGGAAGAAGAAGATTCGGACGCGACTTGACTGTTACAAGTCGATTTTCCACAGGATATTCTCTGTATTGATGAAGAACCTCCTAACAAAGCAAACTACATGCAGTTGCACTTAGAACATGTCTTGAGACTTAAGAGTAGAGTCTTGACCATGACGTATTTGTCATTGACACTTCACTGTCTCACAACTCAATCGAGTGGATGTGAAGAACAAGCTAGCACGATTGTACTTAAAATATAAATACTAGTCACGAGTGCATAACAGCTGTATCAATGTATTTCCGGGAATTGTTGTGGTACATGTACCAGTCTGAACAATATAAATACTCATAATATTCTGTATTGTCATTCTTTCTTACCACTTAAAAACTATATTCTAGTATCTTTCCCTATCTATTTATAATTTCAATAACATTTTTATAATCATATCATTTTTTAAATGTACGAATAAATTTTGAAAATAGAAAAATCATTGGCATGCAGCAACATTGTAGCTGGAGCTGAGGTTAAGAAAACGCGCGCCGTCAGCCCGCGAACTGTAATTTATAAATCTCTCAGTTCATGTGTTTTTAAGTCCAGATTTCTCAGCTTTTCTCAAAGAAAATCCGACTTTTAGTGATCATGGCACCAAAGACTTCCAAGAAACAGAAGAGGAAGGTGTCTGGTAATCATGAAAGAGACCAGTGGATGGTTATTGCTCCAGGTAAGGGTAGAAATATGTAATGTGGTCCCACTCGTTAATAATTGTGTCAGAGTAGGCCTAGACCCCCTAATAATGTGATTTCAGTTCATGCAACAAATAGAACAAGATTAAAAAACCTCAAGTAAGTCTGGGGCTCTGGGCACTGTATATTTTTTTTCTTTTTCAGAATCAGCATCAGTATTCGGAATTGTGAGGTGATCCTGTTGAAACTTCCGGTCGTTTCATTGAGTGGTGCTTCGTTCAAAAATGAACCTGCTGAACTATTTTTGCTTGCATGGGGGGTGGACGCACATATTAATTTTATGTTAGTAATTACTTGGCCTTGTGAAATGATGTTGATCCACCAAAATATTACTTGGGTCTACCGTTTTAAACTGGATGTTTTGCTTCACTAGTTGAAGTGCTTGAAAATAATATTTTTTAAATTATCTGTTTACTTTGGCAAATAATTAATTGTTCTGTCAATTTTGTATGTTCTATCTAACTTCTGTCCCATTGTTTATAATGCAGATGCTTTTACAATGTATGTGGTCTCTTTTTCATTTCTTTTTCATTTTGTTTCACAAGTGCACCTTGACCATTTGATTTCAAGCGGATTCAGCGCTTACAAATCTCATAAATTATCAATATTTTCAGATTCTACATTTGAGAGTATAGATGGATGCCCTGATCCATCCTTTGTGAAGCTGAGGCATCCTAAGACTGGTAAATTATTAAATTTCTTTGCCTCAATTGTGTAGCATGAATTGTTCAGTTTATGTAAGAGATGAAGCAGATTTGTCTTGAAATACTTCACTAGTGACACAATTGCAACCAAATAAGATTACTTGAATAATTGTTACAAACGGTACTGCATTATGTCTTGCCAAATTTACAGAGGAGTCTGAATTTGTGATTGACTTTGTCTTGTCAATTTGAAAGATTTTAATGCTTCATTAAAAAAAAAATGTTTCAGTATAAACTACAAACATGGCCAAAACTGACAATGATTATGCAGTAAGGGGTTGTGTTAACCCAAACATTTGTTGAATAGATGTTCATGTTATTCATAAAGTAAATGTGTTACATGCCACATTTTATAGCACAAGAGTCAAGAGTTAACATTTATAATAATTTGTTGAATCAAGTTTTGATTTACTTAATACTTATCATTCAAACTCTGGATTGACTTACTAACAAAAACCAACACAACACATGTGACACTTAAAGGGATGTTTTGTTATGAACCCTAATTTTGAAAGAGTGCTAACTACCACATTTTTTCCTCTTTATTACAACTGCTCAACTTTCTCTTCAAATCATAACTTGATAAAAATGAAAAAAAATCATCACACTTGTACTAGTAATACTTCATTTCTGATCGGTTGATTAATTGTTATTTGTTTATATTCTACTTTCAGAGAATGGGGTCATGTTTCTCTTCAGCAGTGATGGAACAAGCGTTCATGAGGTCATGAGATTCAAGAGGGACTTTGGATCATGGTTCATTAACGACTCGGTCCAACAAGGTCAGTTTCAAGAATCGTTCTACCTTCCAAAGGCCTTCATGCATTAAGAGATGGTGGGGGGGGGGGGGTTACTTCTGTTTAAAAAAATATATATATAACTAGAAGAAAACAGAACTAACACCTTTTTTAAAAGTTAGTTTAAGATTCTTGCACTCTCTGCCCATGTGCAATTTGTAACTGTAAAGCCATAGGTTACAATAATATCAATCAAGAGGAGTAACAGCTCTTTGAAACCTTGGAATGTAAAGCTTTAAAAATTGGAAGTTGTTGACCTAAAAACAGCAATCAACCTAATGACATCATCTTGTGTGGAGGATGCATACTCGCAATGACCTTGCATTAACTAAGCATGGCTCATCGCCTCAGCTTTTAGGCTATCACCATAACTGGCAAATTTGACTCCCGTTGATATGAAATTTGGAGGGGTGTGTACAATGAGCTTCTCAATTGATTTTATGTAGTACTGAAAAGGAAAATATTTTGTACTCCTCTTTATTTGTATTCTATGTTCATTCAGCTTTCCATTGATATAAAGTTGTATTTTTATTGGATAGGGTTTTTAACAAGTTTGAACTTTGTGAGTCATTATTGGAGAAACAGGTGGTAATGACTAATCTTTGCATAATATTTGTGAAATGTGAGAATGGCCAGATAAAAGATTTTTTTTTCTCCCTTATCTCTCTTCTTTGACAGATGGGTCATTAGAGGTCATAACTCCCGTCGACCCTGTATTCTTAGCTCTGCCATACCTTATCAAATCAAGTAAAGAGGTCAGTTTGATGTCACATTTTCCTTCGTGTTCAAAACTCTTGATCCTACAATCTACTAATATTCCAACCAGATGATGGGCTTTAGCTTTCAAAATTGGAATTAACAAAGGAATTAGTCTAAGATATTGTTTTCCTTTGTTAAAACTTAAAAGTCATCTTAGACACAGGGTCTGATTTAACTGAATTAGTAGAACACGGATCATTTGTTTGTTTGTTTGTTTTTATTAACAAGATACACTAATATTTCAGTCTTGCAAATTTGTCCATAGTCTTTTACCGTTTTCAAGTTTATGGACAGCTATTATATCCAGACTTCCACTTTACAAGTCTTCCTTTTAATTCCATGGTCTATTGGTAATTTTGGCAGACGTTATCCAGGGGAACAAAATTCTCCCTACATTTGTCTTATGCTGTTACAAGAAGAAAAATGCTAGCTATAGCTTTAACAATGGACTTTAACAATTGAATTCTTTCATAAGATTTTCAGCCTCTGGCCCAGAAGGGATTATTGATAAAAATGGATTGAATGGTGTTTGAGAAATACATGAAGCAAACCAACATTGGTGAGAAAAAAATGAATATGGTCAAATTCAACCTGTATTAAAAGATCACTTAGGGGAAACACAAGATTCAATAAGAGGTGGAGCTAAAGGAAAATATAAAATATAACATTTTTAAATTTTTTTTTTTATGGACAGATGGTTGTTTTATAAAGATGGTCACTAAAGCAGGTTCCGCTCTTTTTTCCTCCCACTGCAGCGAAACAAATTCATGACCTTGGATCAGATCATCCTTGATGACGACTACCCACAATGCATCAGGTTGCTTCATTGCTCTGGCATGTCTGGTATAGAAAGAGTAGCAGAGGTCAAAGGTCAGTTTAAGAAATGTAATAAGTATAATATTTACCATTTCCTTCTGACATAAACAAAAATATACAAAAGAAATGGTATTACAAGTAATTTAGTTTACTTTTGAAACAATAATTTTGAAATATTCTAGCCAAACCATTGTGGTATGCAAATAATGAATAAGTAAATATTTCATATGAGCGTTTATGAGAGGCTCGGTTAATCCATAGAAACAAACTCCACACCATTTTCTCCCACTCATAAAATCATAAAACATGTCCATAATCTGTTCAAGATATATTATTAAAAGTGGAACAGGTTTTTTTGAGCGTTTAAAGTCAATATTAAAAGCATCGTTAAACAACGTTAAATCTGAGATGCAAAGCCCCACGTCTTATCAGTGTCTGTGATATGGTGTAATATTGAAGCTCTAAAAAAAATCATGCTTCAAAATGATCAAGAAGTGCCTCAAAAAAGTAAAAATCTTTGAGTGACCGGTTTTACCCTACTCGTTTTCCCCAATAGACTGTAGTGTTATGAAAACCGTTAGGAAAACGCAAAATTTTGTTTCGATTTCCAATCATAAATATCTTGATAATCAGACAGGCGATTGGCTTGTAAAAGTCATGGGGTTCCAGACTAACCTAAAGGTGTATAATTATCATTGTAGCATGAGCTAAATCCAGGATTTTGTTTCAGAATCTGAGGCAATGTTACCGAGTCACTTTAAAGTCAATATGAAAGGATATTTTCTATCTATTATGATCAGGGAGTGGGGATGTGAGAGCCTATCGATACGACGAATCCAAGACCTTGGACTGGCTGAAAGACAAAGTGGAGCAGACAGCAGCCCGTCTAGGCCAGACGGATGTGCACGTAGCCAGCGGAGCGCAGTCAACGACGTTTGTACGTAGCAGCAAAGAACAGGGTGCAACGGAAGGTAGGGCCCTGTGCATTTTACATGATCTGAATGGGAGCCATCTACACACAGAGTTTGGCCAACTCGGTTCGAGTTGGACACCATATGGCGATTACTGCTTTGTTGGGCAAGCACAAAACAAAAGAATATACGCCATGTGACCCAATAAAGTTGGCCAAACTCTGTGTATAGATGGCTCTGATCTGACGATGGGACTGCCGTCTGATTCTCATGCCATCTGAAATTTGTTTCTCGGCATGATGTCTTAGGGCAATGCTTGTGCAATTGTCTTATAAAAACTTGCTTGCAGTGCTATATTTGGAGAAAAAAATTAAGCGTAGACACTGCTTTGATACAAGCGCCATAATGTGAACTGCAGTTGTTAAGCTTTAGCGCCACCCTGTGGCAGCTGCTTTTAAACTGCTGCTTGTTATTGTGCCGCTATGTTCAGCGTCGTTTTCAGTAGTGCTTTACTGCACTCTGGTTCCTTGACTTGTCTTGAATATGGAGCTTTAAAAAGTTACTTAGGCTGACATTGATTTAGTCTCCTTAATTGCAATGGTAGGATTTTATCATATGCTACTACTTAGCGGTACATGTAGGTATTATCACTAGCATCTCCGTATTGTCAACAGGATAGGTGCTTCAGTGCTTTTGAAACTAGAAAGGAATATTGTTTTTAGAAATGACTTTAGAAATTTAACCATTTTATCAGAGAATTCTTAGCCTGCAGCCTTTTCATTTCCAGCTTGAATACATGATGGCTAACACTGCATTTGAAAATTTCTGGTATAGGTTTAGGTTAATTCTCTCTCATAAGAATGTTTTTTGTTTCTTTCTACTTGAGTATTGGTGTTTGAGAACCTACTTAATGATTATAGCATTTTCTATTTTGTCATATATTTTTTTTACAGAGGATTACAAGAGGTACGCTGCGGGGCTAGTATCTGATTACCTGTCTGCAGACCTTAGCACAAAGCTCTTTGAACACATAGGGTGAGCATGAATCAAGACTATTACCCCTCCCCTCCCCTTCTCCCCTCCCCCTTCTCCCCTCCCCTTTTCCTTCTCCCCTCTCCTTTCCTTCTCCCCTCCCCTTCTCCCCTCCCCCTTCTCCCCTCCTCCCCTTCTCCCCTCCACCTTCTCACCTCCCACTTCTCCCCTCCCCCATAAAAAGGAAAAAGACTGAGGAAAAAAAAAAATCACAAAGATTTTCCTTAAGGGGCCATTGCCAAACTCTTTTTGAATGTGCAGTTTTTAAAGTATTTCTGTATTTTTCTTATATATTGTGAATGTGTTTTAATGACATTGGCAATATACATCCCAATTTCTCATTGGGGCATCAGTTCAGTAATGAGGTGTTGTGGTCTAGTGGATATGAAGCATTGGATACAGGGTTCAAATCTCTGTCATGTTACCAATGTCCTTTCACAAGACATTTATTTCTTTGGAACAATCTCCCCCTTCAAATTCGCAATGCTAGTTCTTTAATACATTTAAAACAATGCTAAATTAAAACCTATCTCCTTAAGTCTTGTTCCTGAATAGCCCTCTGACCTCTTGCCTTTTATATTTTGTAGATAAACATAGGATATTATATACCTCACTTAAGAAATCCAGCCATCTGATTGGTCGAAATTGCATTCATAAACTTTAACTGTTCCCGAAAATTCCCAGTAACCATGGTTAAAACAGTTAAAAATCCCAATAACCATGGTTATTGGGAAAATAGGTCAGTCTCCATGGTTACCCCATAGGTTTACATGTTAAAAAATGGTCTGAGCGATCGAGGATACCATACGTGTGCGAAGAATTGGTCGGTAATTTCAATACAATTGAATCTCGATCGATCTTACCGACAATTTTATCTTGCATTGTTGACATGAAGACGAAAATAAACTTCCAAAAACAAAAAAACAACATCTGCCGATAGATCTTGATCTAAGTTTGTGCCAATATGCATTGCAAAAGTAAAAGGAAGGGTCCGTTTAATGGAGCAGCGGCGAAGCATCCACCACTCGAAGCCGTTTTCAATCCATTTTAATGTATATATTAGAGAAAACTACAATATATGGTGACAGAGCGTGCTGGCCGAGCGGTCTAAGGCGCTGACTTTACTTACCCCACCTTTTGTACGCAAGAGTTCGAATCCCATCTTCGACAAAAGTTTTTTTATTTTTTATTTTTTATTTTTTAGTCTATTTTTTTTCGGCATATAAAAGTATTAATGACTGCTTTAATATTCGAGAAATAGTTGTTTTATACGCTCTCGGGAAGGTTACAAAAGTCGGCTGCCCTCAGCACGCCTCGGGGCAATAGCACAATTCTAACCTTCCCTTGAGCGTATAAAAACAACTATTTCTCTCAAAGCAGTCATTAATACTAAACTATTAATTTATGAACTATTTGTATTTTGGTTGTAAGTGATTTGTAATTATGTACATGTATTATTTTCATTTGCAAAGTTTGAATGTTCATTGATTTGATGTAATTTGAAATGCAATTTCTGTTTCCTTTACTTATCAACCATTTTCCTTCTAAACCGCTTAGAGGCATTATGCAATTCGCGGTATAGAAATATATTATTATTATTATTAGCCACTTTGGTTGTACCACATTTCTATGTCTCTTTTGATTTGCAGAATCAAGGAGGTATCTGAAAAAGTTTCCAAGGCTTTGGAGAATGGTGCAGAACCCCCTTTGAAGGTAAGAAAACTCTATAACCATTACAGTGGATTGCCATTTGGTCTTCAACCAGTTCGTCTTCTATCCAATTGGTCTATTCCCATATGGTCTATAAGCCCATATCCTATCCACATGGTCTAATAATCATTTTGTCTACCTATCATTTGGTCTAATGACCATTTAAGCTAATAGTTTTAATGAGGTATTTGGGACCATTGAAATTACCTTGATATATCAGGGTATAAAAGTCAAAGACTATTTTTTTAGTTTTTTTTATTTAGGTTTTATTTCCACATCAACTGCATATGAAAAGAATTTACAGAGTAACGCATATACAAGGTAACAAAACATGCACATATGTTCGTATTACAACAGTAAAAAATGATTTTAAGCAAGTAATTAAATACAAATGATGCTCACAATAATCTGCAGTAATGAGGAGGAAACCTTGGAAGGAATATGCTTGTGATTAAGGTTCCCTTTATGTAATACGTTTGTTACAAACTATAAAGAGCTGGGACCAGCAAAATCACCTTGTTATAACAGAAACCTTGTTAAAGGTAATACAAAGTTTTGGGATTGGGTCATGAATTTGGTTCAAATGAACATATTGAAAGCATATGCAATCCTACAATATTGAGGGATCGTTGTTGCAGTTGAAATTGAGTCGAAAGTTATGAAATTATAAATAATAAACTCTTTATGGTATATAGTTCCCTCTCAAGGTCAAGATATTAATTAAACTATAAAACAATGTTTCTTGACTAAAATTGACCAATTAGTTATTCCCGTTTGGAAATTATATATATTATATACATATTCTGAGATTTTCACGGTCACAGCTACCATTATACGGCGCTATTTGATATTTTTTTATCAAAATTTACCGGGAGCACCAATAAATTTTTCTCGAAAGGAGAAGTGTTTTAGGGGCTAATTTTTCTTGTGCTCATAATACATCCACAGGGGCATCCAAATATATCAAATTTGTAAAGAATCACTTTCCACCCAATTTTCAAATTTCCCAAAACTTTGTATTACCTTTAATATGTCAGAGCACTTAATAAATGAGGTTCAACTGTACATGTATTTGGTGTTTTTTTTATAGTTCTTTTTAAAGTAATCATGCGAATGCTCTAGCTATGTTGAATTGTTTATGAGATTCTTTTCTTTGGCTATTTACAGAAAGCAAGAATGTCATCAGATATAAAAACAGAGCCTGAAGAAGATTACTCCAAGGCATTCACAGCTTCAAATGATATGAAGAAAGAAAAGGTAAACCGTGAGATCAATTTTCAGTCGCTGAACAATTTCAATTTATTTCAAAAACTTAAATTAAAGAATTTCTTATTGATCAGATAATATGAGTATGAATGATATATACTTGTTGCATGTTTAATTTTCTTTGCCAATTTTCATGAGACTGGTTTATACTTATGGTTATGATCTTTGTTCTTCGTTTTTCTCTCTCTCTCTCTCTCTCCTTCCCTATGTTCTGCTTTCTCTCTCTCTCTCTCTCTCTCTCTCTATCTCTCTTTCTTTATGATCCACATTCTCTTTTTCTCTGTGATGGCACAATATGCATAATGAGAAGAATTGCTTTTCAGTCTACTTTTCTCTTTTTGTTTTTGTTTATCTTTAAATTTATCATTTTATGGTTATATATTCAATATTCATATGTATAAATGTATCATTTTTTCCTCCATGTCATGCTTTTGCTGATGTTTATTTTATTTTGAAATTTCTGTACATTTTCAGTCTCCAGGGTTTGATATTAAATACAAAGAAATTGAAATGGAATGGGATAGTATACAAATATTGACTGCTCATGAGGATGATGGTGGGAACTATCACTCCCTCGGTGGTGTTCACACCGGCCCTTCTATCACCCCCTTGGCTTTGCCTCGGGGATGATAGAAGGGCCGGTGTGAACACCACCGAGGGAGTGGTAGTTCCCACCATCATCCGATTACAGAGCAGTCCATATTTGTTTTATATACCTCATCCTTTTTATTGATTCACGATTAGTTCTAGCTGTATGTCTAGATCTAGCTCTAAAAAACAGGAAACGAGATCAAGAGGAATTCACTCACCAGAATAAGAAAAATCCAACATCAAGTCAAAATTAAAGGCAAGAGTATTGAATTCCTACGCGCTGCGCGTAACCGTGCGCGCGATTGCGGTAGCCTAGCAACTCAAAAAATTGGTGTGCGCAACTAAGTCGCGGAAGGGGTTAGGGGTCCTATCCGAGGGTTTGATAGTAGCTATCAAACCCTCTGACGTAATGATACTTGATAGATCGAAATGCTCTTTGACATGTGATATAGTTTTGACCAATCAGTGAATGACAATCTATGTATGAGGTATATAAATTGAATTAGATTGGATTGGATTGGAATGGAATGGAGTTAAATGGTAAGGAATGGAATTGGATTTATGGATTAGGATTCTACTTAACCGTATATTCATTCTTATATAAGTCATGTTGTGATATGTTTTGTTTTAAATTACAGAATGGAAAGTTGACGGCCGGTCAGAAGGCACTGAGTAAAGTGGACAAGAAGGGAATGAAAAGCATCTCCAGTTTCTTCTCTCCAAAGCCAAAGAAAATGGAAAAATGATAGATTTCTATTAAAAATGACGATCTTTGATCCAATATATTGAAACTTGTGTATAAAGACCACTTGGAGTAGGGTCTATGGTATGAGCGGTGGTCTTTATGCACAAGTTCCTCAAATACGTGCTTCAGCTCTAAACACTTTCCAAAGGAAACAAAAATATGATCTTTATAGACAGGTCATCTTTCTACCGGTATATAAGCCATTGCCTATATATTGGAACAGAGTGCTTCCTGTATTAAGCCTAGGAGACTGCGATGGGACGAAGTGTACCGATCACTAAAAAACATTTTGTTTTGTATGTTAATAGTAACATGTGAATATCTTTAAGCTTCAGATATTACTTTTTTTAAATATATTTTGCAAGTTGCTAATGTATGCACTCTCAGTTATGATAAAAAGGACTTGTGGGTAGACTACTTGACATACCCATACACACTCGCATAAACTAGGGCCCGTACTGAAACCAAGTCAATGTTGGTGGTTTTATGTTGTTAATTTTATTTATATGAAATATTGGTGATTTTGACATTTTCTTCCTTCTAGTGGCTTTATGAGAAACAATAAATACAAAAAAGACGAATTACCTTTTTATGCGTAACGGAGGCATTATGTTTTCGGGTTGTCCATCCGTCCGTACGTACGTACGTCCCGTTCTCGTGATCGCGTTATCTCAAGAACCGATTGATGGATTCCTGCCAAACTTAGGTCATGTATGTATCTTGCAGAGCCAATGAACTGATGATATTTTGGAGTCACGAGGTCAAAGGTCACAGGGCTCATTAATGTATGCAAAAACAGCTTGTGATCGCATTATCTCAGGAACCGAATGATGGATTCCTGCCAAATTTAGGTCATGTATGTTAGTTGCAGAGCTGATGAACTGATTAGATTTTGGGGTCATGAGGTCAAAGGTCATGGGCTCATGTTTGCAAAAATAGCATTCTCATTAGAACTGACAGATGGATTACTATTTAACTCAGGACATCTTGCAGAGCCAATGAACTGAGTAGATTTTAGGGTCATGAGGTCAAAGATCAAAGGGTCATATATGTATATGAGAAATTGCTTGTAATCACGATATTCTGAGAACCTGTTAATGGATTACAATTGAACTTGAATTTGAAAAATTTCTTCTGTTTTGGTTTATAAAATTGTACTATGATGGAGGCATCATTTTTGACTGCGCGCAGTCGAAGTTCCATCTAGTTCACTCATGAGTCCAGAATAATTTGCCTAGCTTGAAGGGTTCATAATAGAATTGCAAACAATTTGACCACTTTTAATGTGACATCTAACATTAAAGCTGGAGCCTGCGAAGACTGTGATAGATTAACTGTACCATTGTTGGTATTGTAAATAGAATGCATGGACATCTTCTATTTATAAATGATTGTATTGTTACCGCTTGTAATTGAAAGAAAAAATGGGATAAAAACTCACTTTCTGGTGGAACTGCAGATGAAATGGACAAACTTTGACTACTAAATCTGAGTTTTCCTCTCAGTCTCATTTCTTTGTTGATATTGATTATGTTTAATTACATAAAGACCAGCCTTATGAGTATTTTTGTTTCTCTCTAAGATGTTTGTTAGAGATTAGCAGTTGATTGTGATAAATTGTTTAGTCAAACATGTCTAAAGCGACCGCCCTAGGGACCCACAAAATGTGGTCTTTGTAGACAGGTTCGTTTAGTACTTGTTTTAATGAGAAATTATTTTCATGGGAAAGAAAAAATGTGTTCTTTGTAGACAGGTGGTCACTTAAAAGCAGGTTTGACTGTAGTAGCAAAGAGATACAGTGGCCTTGGGCAAGCAAATCTTTTCTTTTTGTGTGTTATTTGGGCAATGAATTACCTTCTACAAAGCTCACCTGAATATTTGGCTGTTGAATGAAGACCAGTGGAAAATGAGTTCCCACTTCAATTTTCATTCATCAATAAGATTTATGTACAACATGGGTTGGAAAAGAAAATCTTGATGATCGTCTCAAGAAAAGTTTTCTCCAAAACAGATATAGATTGTCTGTCATTTTGTTTGGGCTGATGTAAATATGTGTAAGATACAAAAGATTGTTTTTGTCCATTAAAAGTACCTCTGGCATGAACATTATACATAAGTAGGAATGGAAATATAGTTTTACCCCCTCCTAATTCTCTCTGCCTAATTCCTGGCATAGCTAGAAAACCAAGGTAGTGTAAGACAATTAATTCAGGCAAAGTTAGCTCTTTTCTTAAAGAAGCAATTTTGTGGAGCACTGAAGTTGATATTTTAGTCATTTGCAAAAAATTGCAGTGCACTAGCTGCGGTGCTAAATGTCGACTTGATTATGTAGCCGATTGGTTCATTTAATTTTGCACTGCCCTCACGATCATATGTACTTCTAGATACCTATATATGTATATATATTCTTCATTTATGAAAGTGATCATAATCAAGAACAAATGTATGAAATAATGAAATATAAACTGCTTTTAGACATTCAACATTTCTAGTTTATTACTTTTCTTCCACAACTGCTCCATTTCTATTTTCAATCTGTTTCTTTTGCATATATTTTGTCTTCATGTCTGTACTTCTTTCCATGGTCTCAACATATTGTTTTTATTTTCATGTATTTTCCTTGAGATATTGATGATGCTTATAGTGTAAACAACTAGTCATCAATCGATGACCATCGGTGATATGATGTGATGATGGTGGCATGATGGTGATATGATAAGGATGGTGGTAAAAATGGCACTCGTTGTGAACTTAATTGTGATGATGTGATCGGCGTAAATATTCATAAAAAACTATTTAAAACAAAATTTTAAAATGAGGATGTGATGGGAGTAATGATGATGATGGTGGTGATGATGAGAAGAGTGACACAGATTAAAATGCCAGTGATAGATTGATAATGATGATCGAGCATGATACAAGGTAAAATCAAAGCCCACAGCCCAAGGGGCCTTGATCTGTCGTCAAGAACTTTGCACGGAAGAGGTGAACCGTGAAAATGATTTGGTTGGTGTTTTGATCTATTGGTTCTAGTCTGTAATTCAGACCAAGAGTAAAGTTGGCCTGCTAGGCATTGTCTCTGAATTGCCTAAAGTACACAATTAAATAAGAGGTAAAGATTGAAATCGTTTTATTTTTATTTTACCATTGAATGTATAATCAAACGACCAAATTATTTCACGAATATTTTTTTCTTCAAAGTACTTAGGGTCTGAAAATGTTTCTATTAGCGCCATTTTGAATTCTTTCCCAGGCCGTTGTCAATGTAAACGATAAAATTCATCGTGATCAATAGATTTGAAATTTAAAGCATTTTATAGCTGCAGAAGTACTTGAATTTCAAGCATTGGAAGAGGTAAATATATTTATTAGATTGAAATTTGAAGAATTCTTAATTCTACGAGTGATCAAGTGACAAGTGGATTTTTTTAACGAGACCTCCGCGCTCCGGCGTCGGCTATAATTGCTGCTCTGGTCCCATATACTAAAAAGTGTGTTATGTTTTCCAAGTTTCGTCATTGATGATTGAGTAACCATCTAATCTAGACCTAATGGGTGGTATTCTCATAAGTTAAGCCGGGACTAAGTCCAGACTAAACAAGAATTTTAGTTCACACTTCTATGGAATGCTATGTTTCACCTTCCTCCTTTAATATTCATGATAAAGATAATCTACCAAAGACTTTGTTGAAATTCACTTCATACTCATAGATCTAATATCTTTTTCATCCCATTTCATTGCATTTGCAAAATTAATTTTTTGGACACTTTTCATTGAAGGATTAAAATAATCTGTACAGGGTAAATTAGTTTGCAACAGGCACTCCATAAAAGTATGAACTAACTAAGTATGCGCTAACTTAGTACGCGCTACCGGAATACCACCCAATGTCATTACTTAAGTTAGATATAGATTGTCGGTGATTTAAATGAATGTGTGTATGATTTCGATTTTCATTGAAATTATAAACCATGTACTAGTCTAGTGTTCAAATTACATGGAATTATGGGTGTAAACAAACCAGAGTTTCGGTTGTGTGACTGTGATGATATTCTGACGTGTCCGAGACTGGCCTACTGGCACTGCCACTGGGATGATTCTGACTGAGTAATTCAACTCTGCCACTCCTATAAGTAATGCTTGAGGTCTGTTGTTATTGTTGTTGTTGAGATATAGGTGGTGCTCTTCAATCTTCTACAGTTCTAAGACTATCTGCACCTTAAACTTTCCAAATTATTAATTACAAGTCAAAATAATTCCTGTCTTGATTTCTTTTCCAGTTCATTGTTTTTGTTTGGCATTGAATATCGTTCTAGTCCTGGGTTTACCTATTCTCTGCAACAGCAAGGGGGGCGCGTAATACAATCGTTTACTCATCATTAGTAATGCATTTAATTCTTTTGTCCTTTTCACTTTAAGTTTAACTGGTGTTGCCTAACTCTGACCTAAACAGAAAAATACTGTCTGGTAAAGTGGCATGTTGAATTCTCTAATAAAAACTGACATTGTCAACCTTTTGTATGGAGGTAATCAGTGGAGCCAGTCAGTATCAGACTCTTTCAAAGACTGAAGCTTTTGGTCTAAATCTTAACCACACCATTTAAACTACTCGTAGCAGCATTGGTATACTTTGTGTTTGATAAAAAATTTAAGATGCCCCCGATTCTCAAAATTGTCAAACACCACTTAGATCTACCACTGTTTAGTGCATATCCATAGACACATGTGAGTGGTTTTCGATAGACCTACTGCATGATCTTATCTCGCACATTCGCCAAGTGATAACTGGCCAAGTTTCATTGTACCTAACTTGTTAGTCAGCTATATTTTTGTAATAATTACTCACTGAATTGTTTTATTTCAGATTCTAAATGCAGCTATGGCTTCTAGACCATTCAACACATCGGCCAAGGAGCCCGTGTCGGTTAAACTGAGGTATGAAAATAAGAGTGTTATTTTTTCCCAAATAACCTTTGAAACATGCATTTACATGTCTTTTTTTTTGTCAACCAATAAAATGAAAAATAGCCAGGGCATGCATCGTTTCATAACACCTCCATAAGTAAAAGTTCACTGACATCCCATTGAAACGCGTGTTAAACTTAATACACATATTTCAATGGGATGTCGGTGATCTTGTACTTATGACGGTTTTGTGAGATGTTGCCCAAGTTAAACTTGTTCTTTTGTTTCTTATGGAATGTTATGAAAATGGTTCCCCTAAAATGTTATATATAATATTGTTAAAATGTTCTTCATTTTTAAAAGAGCAAATTTTAATGCTACTCTTAATTTTCTTGATAATTGTTTGTTATGTCACCATTACTATGTGAGCCAGGTGGTCATTCAGTTGACACCTTTGATTTTGTTTTTTTAATGTATTTTATAACTATGAAGAGCGCTCATACTTTTTATTCAGTAAGAAGATGGACATTTCTTATTGCTGTTGTTGGTAGTGATATTGTTATAGTTGTTGTTCTTGTTGTTATTACTGTTGTTATTATTTAATATTTTTTTGATTATTTCTGTTATTTTTTTTATTATTACTAATTTTATTACTACTGCTACTACAACTTTTATCATCAATTTTGTGTTATTATATTTGTGAAGCTTGCATACGGTAATCTTGTAAAATTGTATTTTCAATACAGGGGATTAAATGCTTCAAAAAGTGTGACCAGACAGCTTGAGATCGACAGTCGCAGAATGGAAGAACGTCTGAGAGAGCTGAAGGTCGTTATGAACAGAGAGAAACAAGAAAGAGAGTGAGTTTGAATTGAGAAGGTTGAAATAGTATTCCTTCATGTTCTATGATACAAACATTACATCATCATTATTTTGGTTGAGACAACCTTCTTATGTAGAGGTCCAATCATTTTTTTCCCCAGCTATTAAAGTGTCTATGAGTCTTAAACAAACAAATTATTTTGTTTCATACATTTTGAAAACTCTGTAGACTGCCAACTAATTCATCATAGATAGAAAGCCTACAATATGTTTGAGTTTGCAAGCATTGGAACTAGCAGTGTGAAGCACTGTAATACTTTCTGAAAGGATGAAAAGAAGTTTGTTTTACAATTTTTGCTAGGGTGCCAGAATGAATGAAAACACCTTGCAGATTTTTGGCTTGGGTTTGCATTTTTTGTTTAATGTATGTAGATTTGTATATAAATTAACATTTAAACTAAGTGCCATTCAATATGGTAAACAGAAACAATAATGATGAAGACAGTATCCAATTAAGAGCCTTCCGGGGAAATTTGGAAATGAAGACTGCTACCGATAATTTTATTTCAGAGTCTCATTTACTTCTCAATATGGTAAGATATTAATCAGATCACGATTGTTTTCTTATACAGGAGGCAAGGAAGTGCTGGATCAGGGGGAATCTGGTCATCGGCAAAGACTGCACCACCAGGCATTGATGTGACGAAAAAGAAGAGTCCAGCAAAACCTACCAAACCAGGAGAAAACAAGGTATACTGAAGGACAATCTGTCATATTTTTTGATGACATATTTAGGTTTTTCAAGCCTCATAATCATAAAAATAACACAGATAGTTTTTGGAAGTTTTGTTTGTGGCAATCATAACCTTCTACCTGACTCGAATGCCATATGAATATCTGGTCACTTTAAATGATTTCTTTTAACTTTCAGTCAATTCATTGGAAATTTTCGGCCACATGTAGTCCAGGATATCTATAAAATGGTGTAAATTTGCTCATCACAAGAAAGAGAAGAAATGAATAAGTGTTTGAATGAATACTGTGTCAATTCATTACCATATTTATATCTGTTACGCCTCAGAGAGAGTATTTTGTATTAAAGGGCTCCGGTAACTTTGTCTTAGATCCTTTAGAAATAATCCTTGATTTAGCTCATGCTGCAATGATAATTATAAACCTTTAGGTCAGTCAGGAACTCCATGACTTTTACAAGCCGATCGCCTGTCTGATTATCAAGATATTATGATTGGAATTACAAATTTTGAAAACCGTTCGCTTTCATAACACTACAGTCTATTGGGGAAAACGAGTATGGTAAAACCGGTCACTCAAAGATTTTTCTTTTTTGAGGCATTTATTGATCATTTTGAAGCGCAATTTTTTTTAGGGCTTCAATATTACACCATATCACAGACACTGGTAACATGTAGGACCATGTATCTCAGATTTAACATTGCTAAACGATCCCTTTAAGCGTAATGTAAAAATCCAGATTATTATTATCAGGTGGGCTGTATCTAATACAGACCACCTTATAATTTTGTTAAAATTGCCTTTATTATTATTATTTATTTATTTTTATTTTTTTTTATTTTGAACCACTTTTTTGTTAACAAGATAACTTTGAAATGGTTCAATCAAATAATTTGAAATTTAGCACACATATGTATAGGCATATGAACAAAGCAAGGTAAGGTTTTAAACCTTGACCTTGACTGATGACGTCATCTAGGCGCCATTTTGTGAAATTATCTGAAAATAAACTCTTGATCATATCTTCATAACCAAAGGTTATTTCTCATTCATTTTTATCATGATCAAGGTCAATATCAGTCCGGTCAATTTCCGGTCAAAAAACGCGCGCGTGCGCGTACGTCCGCGCGTCAGTGCGCGCGCAAAAATTTTAAATGCTCAAAATCGTCTCAAATTAATTTTGCATACGTTTCAGGTCATTTTAAGCATTTTATAAAAAATCGCGCGTACGAGCATGCGCGCGCGTTTTCGCGCGTAACACCATTACACAACATAGAATCGCCATTTTTTTTTCTTTCATGATATTTTTCATTTTTCGAGGAATTTGATACCATGTTTATCTCCTTATGACCATTAATAACAAGATGAGCGTCAATTCAAGATAAATGTCTTTGCGCGCGAGCTCTTTTATTACATAGCATATAAGGGCAAAAACATGCCTATACAAAATCCATTATAGCTCTTTGGAATGAACCGTGACCTTCAATGTTTTTTCATTTTTAAATAGAGTATGAGTCGGAAATATGATTCCATGTCTCATTTGGCCATTAAGTGTATCGTGACATTATCATAATGGCCTTGGAACTCAAAATACGAATCTGCATATAATGACGTCAGCATATTTATGTAACATTGATTGTATCTCTGTAAATATTGATCGATTTTCTTCCAAATTTCGATATGATGTAGCTGAGTCAATTCTCTACAAGCTCAGTCAACACCATTTTTCATTTTGATAATGTCATCAGAGTGAAAATTGCGATTAAAGGCCTCATGTCAGAAATTTCACAATTTGCGTGTTATGACTATAGAAGGTGAATTTCGTTGACGTAATGAATCTACATGATATTGTTATTAAGAATTTTAAAGCAGTTTCTCGCTTATTTTTGCTCTATTTTGTTTTCAAATTTTAGTTTACCAGCCCACCTATACTTGTTCCAAACAAGTATTATATGTCTAGTTGTTTATATGTTTATGCTTGTGTTTCAATTTCAGATCAGAAAAATAAAAGTACTAAAGGATACCCCAATTGGTAAGACATTTACTTGTTTAATATTAGAGATCCAATATGAATGTGTTCCTTTTCTTATTTAATAACGTACTTGGAGAGTCCTCTGGAAGAATAGTTTTCATACTTTAATATGAAGCTTCCCTGTGGTAAGAAAGACCATACTAATTCTTTTTATAGTTAAATTCTTTTTTAAATCTAGTCTTTTTCAAAATAAGTACAGGTGTAACCCTTCTTCTCTAATTTAGCAGAATGTAGTATGTTGATAATTAGAGATTTTGTTCTTTCTTTTTTGCACTCCAATTGTCAATTAGAAACCAAAGTCAATGCTATTCCTTCTAATGTGTTCAACTCTCTTTTTCTTGCAATTATATTCCTAGACCTTATACATTACTCTTACCAAATAACATGCAATTCTATCGACCTTCCAACTTTAATTCCTGGTTGTTTTTAACATGTTCTTCTCCTTTTTTTAAATAAATATTATTTATTATGCCGACATAGCATGTGAACATGAATAATCCAGTTAAGCTGCTTTTCATGTAAAATGATTTGTACAAACATATTTTGATTGCATTAATAAAATATTATTTAATGATTGATGATTGTTGATATTGTACGTATATTTAAAAAAAAACACTTCTTTGTCAATCACTCCCTATAAACAGAGTTACCTAAGAGAGTTCCAAAGAAGTATCCTCCAGCCCCAAACTCAGTCAGGAAGTCATTTTCTGGACCACCTTGTGGCCAGTGTGAGGAGAGAGCAGTAGCATTGGTAAGTCATCATAATCATCGTCGCCGTTGTCGTCGTCGTCATCATCATCACCATCACAATCATCATCATCATCATCAATATCATTATCATCATCATCATCATCATCATCATCATGACCACCACCTCCACCATCACCATCATCATTGTTTATTGTCAGTTTTTCTGTGGGATTGGATGTTTCATTTCTCTTATTGCCTTTTTCCAAGTCCTCTCGTCTTCAGCATCCTGTGCTCTGTACTAAAAAAAATATTAAAAAATTAGATTTTCCCTGAAGAAATTTTTCAATCATACGTGCACCCTAAATATAATAATTACAAATATGTTTCTATACAACCCCTTCATGAAACAATGAAACATGAAAACATCATCAATAACTAAGAACATCAAAGTTGATGTAATTTCCGTACAGAGCAAATTGGAGAGGACTTGCAAAATACATCACAGTGTTTTGTATTTCAAATTCAATTTGTATTTCAGTGATGACAACTTTAATAATTCATCTCCTTCTTATTATATCAGATGTTGATACAGTAACCTCTCTTTTCTCATACATTGTGGATGTGAATTGACTTTATATTTCTGCTCTCTTTACCTTTTTGTGCAGACCTGCATGGAATGTGGAGAGAATTACTGCGCAGGATGCTTTGCGAAGTTTCACCTCAAGGGGGCGCTACGTCAGCACCGTTCCATCCCATACCAGAGCGGCAGCAAAGAGAATTCGCCACATAATAGGTGAGTTATCAAGTATCCGAGAAAAGTATTATGTCACTTTAAATGTGCAGTTTTGGAGGACAATGATAATTTTGCAAGTAAATTTCTAAAAATTAAAATGCAATCTGGAGGAAAGCGTCACTATTAAAAAATGAAATGAGTCAGATTTGTTACAGTCAGAAAGCTATACAAAGAAATATCAACCTGTAGTCATATATGTTTTCAAAAATGTAATTTGTAGCTAATTACATTTCAAACACACTTGAAACAGAAAGACAAGAGTGAACTGCCTCTTAGTGCTCTATTAAAACGACAACCTCTTTGAAACTTGCTTACAAGTAGTTTCAACCCTTAATGTATTGGGCTTTCTGTTCTGTAATTTTTTATGAAAGCAGCTTTATTGATCAGTATTGTTGCATATTAATATTGCATTATTTATGGGGTTGCTTTAAAGGTACTATGTCCCATTTGCAGGCCAAACAATGAAAAGGTTAAATTCCAATGGCATTTGAAAGATAATTCTTATTTAGAACTACCCTTAAAAAAAGGGGGCTTGAAAATGTCTTTAAGTGGGAAAATAACGACTATTAGTTGTCAATCGACTTAAGAGCTAAAGAGCCAATAAGTAATATTCTTGATTTTCAGACCATTGTACCGCATGGTCGTACGTTTTATGCTGCGCAAAGATTCAATCAGTTTAATTTTGGCCATTACAAGTAGTGGGTTATTGATATCAACAAATCCTTTGCAGCTCATGTTATATATTTTATTACCAAAGAAGAAAAAAGCCAGTCAGTCACTCAGTACTGACAGTGAAGTCTAGCAAGTAAACAGGTTTCCTTGCATAATTTGGATATGAGGACACTGCTAATTATGTTTAAATTTCACAGATAGGACATACATGACATATTCGTAATTCCTGCAAAGTTCTACAGAATTTGAGGTTGGCTGCAAAAGGGACATAGTATCTTTATTACTTGCCATTCAATATATTGAATTATGTTCATTATTGTTCCTCCTCTTCCTCCTCCGTTTCCTCTGTAGTATGGAAGCCAGTTCAGTTTCCCATCCTGGAGCCAGCAAACCATCCGCTCCTAAGACAAGCTCTGGAGTAGACAGTCATTCCAATCAGCCAGGCAGAGTCATCATGGCAAAGACCACACCACCAAAGGTCAGTTATAATAATAATAACCCATTCTTGTAAAGCATGTAACACATCATGATATAAAGTCCCTACACGCTTTCAAAGATTTTTGAAAATAATTACCCTAGCTTTTAATAGCTCCGGCAGCCTTTATATATTATCAGCCGTTATCATTTAAGGGAAATTTCACCCTTATATTAGTTGGATTTTAATAATAGAGGAAGAGTCATGAGAGAAACAGATTAGTGAAAGTTTGAGCAAAATCCAATAATGAGACAAAAGAGAGTTAATAATTCTTGTTTTTAGAATCGATCATTTTCGCAACTCTGTGATGTTTCACCAGACATCCTCTCCCATTTACTGTGTTCTAAACTAAATCATGAATATCTATTTACTCAAAAGAAAAAGTTTGCTCATACGTATCTTTATATATTGCATGTAAACGAGTAGAATTTTTATGTACTGATTATCAAATTTGAATAAATCTTGAATAAGAGTTTGGACGTTGAAAGTTAGTGTTTCAGCATGGAACTGAAAACAGGTCTTTAATATTTACAAATTTTTTTTTTTCAAGATGAACGATTTAAAAGAAAACACCAGGGCGAGTGAAAACTTGCTTTTAAAGGTTTACCTTCATTATTATTGTGTTTTTTTAACATCCAGAATCCTTCTCCCAAGCCTGGTATCTCGGCCTTCGAAGGAGAGTATAGTGAAGAAGAGAGCGCTGCTTCCTTTGCTGCTGCACTGGCTGAATGGAGACAAGTTAAGAAAGGGGGTCAGCAAAATGGCGTAGGTGGCCAGGGTGCCAAGAAAGATGGTATGTAAACACACCCAGTTTTGTGAATTAACCTTTTCATTGCAATGTAAAGACCAGTTCACATTTGAATAAAAACAGTATACTAAAGTGTGTGTGTGTGTGTGTGTATTGGGTTTTTACAGACGTGTATCAATCAGATATGATTATTTACGTCTGGGGATTGACCTTTACACGTCACCATCCAAAAGACGTGACTCAGTTTCAAACCTGTGTCCTCGGCTGAATCAGTTTGTAAATTCCACTGTTAGCTGGATTACAGGCGCACGCCACAATACCTAGTCGCCTATGTCCCAAGAATTTATAGTAGTGTTTAAAAAAAAACTTTCCTGTTTGCGGGGGCTTTTTGAGGATTTGTTGTTGTACAAGTGCACTTTTTCTCACAGTGATATTAAAGTATTTGATTGTCATCTACCAGAGCTCTTATACCACTTACCAGAGATAGTTACATCACCATAAAGTGCAGCAGATTGGTCAGTCATTAACCTCTGACCTCTGAATACAGGTGTCACAACCGTCTCTCTCAAATTGCTATGAGAAACCATACATATCAACAGCTTGCTAATAATCTGTTTTCTCACTATCTACCTTATCTCAGTGCATGACATGGGCAGCGGATCGGCAGCAGCTCTCGACGCCGACAAGGTACCAGTGGAGATCAACTTCCAGGAGAACCCATCCCTGAGCTACGCTGATAGGCTCCTGCTCAAGAAACACAGACGCACAGAGCTGCCTACTGCCTTGAGCCCTACCCCCAGTCAGCTGGCAAATCATTACCTACCTAGGGAGACCGATTCCAGAATCAGCCAGAGTGATTTGACCAATGGGCACTATGACCGCTCAGGTGAGGCAATTTGAAACTACCGGGGTAACCTGAGGAATTATGACTTACTTAGGGAACTTCTGTGGGAGTTTTGTGTAGCCTTTTGTCAAGTTACTATTCTGACATGAGATGAATTTGAGGTAAAACTATATTTTTTTAAAGGCACCGGTAATACAAAGTTTTGGGAAATTTTGGATATCGGGTGGATAGTGATTCTTCACAACTTTGATATATTTGGATGCCCCTGTGGATGTATTAGAATCACTAGAAAATTTAGCCCTCAAAACACTTCTGCTTTTGAGAAAAATTGAATATAAAAATTTACCGGTGCTCCCAGTAAATTTTGATAAATTTCAAATAGCGCCTACGGACGTGTAATGGTAGCCGCAACCATGAAAATTTCAGAACATTTAGCGATGGTATATAATTTCCAAACGGGAATGGCTAGTCGGTCATGATTTTAGTCAATAAACATTGTTTTATAGCTTAATTAATATCTTGACCTGAGAGGCAGCTATACAACATAAAGAGTTTATTATTTACAATTGTATAACTTTAGACTCTATTTCAACCGCGACAAAGATCGCTGAATATTGTAGGACCGCATATGCTTCCAATATGTTCATTTGAACCAAATTTGTATTACCTTTAAACTGTGACAATTTGATAATAATTTCAAGGATTTCAAACAAATTTGGATAGATGAACTAAAGAGATTTAGGAATGATCACTTGATAACTATTGGCATAATATAAGTAAGCTTTGCGAACCAATTACATGCCTGAGCAAGTCAACAAGTATTATATCAAATCAAAGTAAACATAATGCACTTGGGATAGGCCTAATGAATATGTTGTTCGTTCGGTTTGTGTGTTTAAAACAAAAGATTGATTTTGCATCTTGAGTCATTGAAGTGCGATGGCTCTGTGGTAGAGCAGTTCCGGAGGTTCCGGATTCAAAACCGAGTTGATGCACCCAGTGCCCTTAGGTAAGGCATTACTCCTCATTACCAAGTCCCTCAAAGAGGACTTAAAGGCATCTGTCCCTTGGTTGCTTATGTATATGCATACCGGTACACATGCTTTCTTAGCAGTCAGGTAAAATAAACAAACCAATCAAAGTTTCCTTATGTTTTGTATGTTCTCCTCATGCATATAGAGGAGGAATTGGAGATTGAAGAGGAACGCCAGCGTTACGCAAACATCTTCGCCAAAGAATCACCCCGAGAGGAAATGGAACGACCCCAAAGCAATCTTACCATCTTGGAAATCACAGATGAGGTACGTGCCATCTCGCGATAACCGATTGTAACAGAATACATGATTATATACATGTATCTCTTATGATTGATTACTGGTATTGGGAGGAAAGAGAATGATAAAAAGTGAAATAATATATAATTATATATGATATACAAGATTTAGACTTTTGACTATAATATGACAAAATTGTCTGTATTCTTCTCATTTATATTCTTTTGTTTTTATTTTTCTTTGTACCATCAGGATGCCACTGTTGAAAAAGATCTTGAAGTCCAGTCTGTTTATAGTGTTCAAGAATGGGATTCTGTCATCAACGCTCCGTCTCCTCATGTCATGGTCATGACACCAGATAGCAATCAGTCTGGAATCAAGCTCGCAGATTCAAGCATGAAGTCAAAAGATGTGAAGTCCAACACAAGTGCAACCAGGGTGATGCCTTCAGGGAAGGGATCGTCCGCAAAGATTGATCAGAGGGTTTCCGGGAGTTCTGCCAAGTCTGCAGCCAGGAAAGACCATGAGAAACAGACTCCGTCCAGGAATGGGACAGCACCTAAGCCAAGCGTGGGCAGAGAAAAGCAGTCGGCTCAAGCCAGACCCAGCTCAAAGATCGGCTCTGGTAGATCAGCGGTTGCAGCATCAGGCAGTCAACGGGACAGCACAAGCCAGAAGAACAGAACGGAGAGTGCTGTGCAAGGGAGACAGTCTGCATCGGGACGGCAATCTTCTGCTGGAGGTGGGAAGAAGAAAGGACAGGAGGATTCTCAAGGAAGGCAATCAGCAGTGGAAAGGCCACCTTCTGCAGGAATCACCACGTTGCCTTCCAAGGAACTCCAGGAGATCGGAAGGATGCGCCCTGGCGTGCAGCATCAGCAGGGCTACCAGGAGGGACTGGGGTCTTTCTTCATGGGTGGTGTGGATATGAAGGACAAGAAGGACGCCGGCAGAAAGAAAGTGGAGCCAGAGAGAACCAACACCCCTACAAATGTACTACCAGATTGTTCCTACAAAGGTGAGGTTCCCATTGCCATTACTGTGATAAATGCTCACTTTGTTTGTATTTTCCACCATGCCTTGTTCAAATTAATAGCTGCTTAGCTTGTTCTTAAATTTAAAGTTGCACAGGGTGAAAAAGATCTTTATTTAGATTTGATTATGTACCAAGCATTTTAGACATGATGCAGACAAGATGATTTCCACAATGTACATGTACCATTTACTTGCCATTATTTCATATCAATCATGATTCAATGCCATAGGAAATATCATGCTCGTGTGTTTGACCAAATTTTGCAACTTTCTGTGATTGGCAGGTCCATCGACATGGAGACCAGACAGCAGTATGTCCAACCATCCTGATCAGCCTGCCACAGTTCTCTCCCCGTCACCTCCAAAACAATCCAGAGACACCAAGTCACCCAGCATGTCCGGTAGAAAGCGGTCCTCTCTTCCCATGGCTACAGGGACCTCATCTTCGGGGACCACAAGCAACCGATCTGCCCCAACTGGCACGACTCCTCGGGCAATGTCCAGCAAGCCACGAAGCGGCGTTCCTGAACGGACGCCTCGCAGGTCTGCAGGAGTGGCTCCAGGAAAGGCAGGGTCTGCAGGAGTGGCTCCAGGAAAGGCAGGAGCTTCGGAAGTCGATAACACACTGCACTGGAAACTCAGTCAGGCAGAAAAGGCCAAAGGATCAAGGATGGCACCAAGTGGTCTCAGGAAATCAGGTACAGGAGACCACTCTGCATCATCCAGTGCATCCAGTATGGCCCCTAGGAGCAGCAGTCGTATCGAGGTCGATGGCGATGACATGACGGGGTACGATGATGAAGGGTCTGCGAGGAGGAGAGAGGAAGAGGACCATGAAGCCTTGGAACAACTCAATTGGGAACTAGCCTCTAATGATGGCAGAATTACAGGTATGCTACTTCATGCACTACTAACTTATATTTAGTGTTTGTTGAAAACTTGCCCCAATTACCCCTTTGAAAACTACCTAGGGATTCTGAGACAGATATTTTCCAGGGGATGATTTTCCCCGGGGTAGCCTGGAAAGGGGTGGGGTAACATATAGTTGTCTGTGAGATAATTGTTGTCAGCCTAAGGGATAGTTGTCCTGGGGTGTAGTTGTTCTAGGGTGTAGTTGTCCGAGGACAGATGGTTTTCTGGGAATGGTGGTCAATGTAGTTGTCTGTGAGATGATTGTTATTGTCCTCTGGAGTACTTGCTTTAGGACTGGAGGAAATTTGGTAGAATTTGTATGTAAATAAACAAATAAAAGATAAAAATACACCTTAAAGCCTATCTGCGCTAGTTTGGCCAGGAGGGATTAGACCTCCCTACATGGTCACTGACGGGTGGTTATCATCAAATCAGCTCTCAATTAATATAAGAAAAAGGGGATCATGGAGGACCAACAGGTACCGCTTAGGCATTGTTTGCTATATAGAGGGTGCAAGTAGCTACAAGTAGTGCAGTCCCGCTTTAAAGCCTTCATCAGTCCAGTTTTAATCTAATTTTTTAAGAAGAAAATTAGTTTTCTTATACTCCTCCTTAGGCCCATTGAAAGCCTCTGTATATTCATTATTCAATCACTGTCTTCTTTTTTTATCTCCACAGCTGATGGTCGCATCTCTAGCCTGAGTCTCATCGAGGGACTAGACGAGAACAACCTTCTATTCATGGCTGTCGAGGACCAGGACCGGGCCCTAGGAATCACACAAGACGATGGACTAGGATCTGGTCTAAGCACTCCCTGTAATGATCTCTCCTTGGACCAACTCAGCGAGGAGGAGCTCCAGTCGGACTTTGTGGTTGCGGCCGATAACAAGCGCTCTAAAGAAGAAGTCCAGGCTCTCAATAGTTAAAAGTAATCTTGACCTCAAACTAGGTAAATGGGATTGTATGTTATGGAAAACTGTGTAAGGAGGTATCCTGGAGGGGTCTGCTCGCTCTTCATAAGAGCCGCTATTTATTAAGGACAACTATTCATTTGGTCACACCTTATGGATAGTGGTCCTTATGAATAGTGGTCCTTATGAATAGTCGTCCTTATGAATAGTGGTCCTTATGAATAGTGGTCCTTATGGATAGTGGTCCTTATGAATCATTGTCCTTATGAATAGTGGTCCTTATGAATAGTGGTCCTTATGGATAGTGGTCCTTATGAATCATTGTCCTTATGAATAGTGGTCCTTATGAATAGTGGTCCTTATGGATAGTGGTCCTTATGAATAGTGGTCCTTATGGATAGTGGTCCTTTTGAATAGTGGTCCTTATGAGTGGCGGTCCTTATGAATAGCGAGGTAAATTGTCTATAGTTTGCTCGCTATTTATAAGGGCCGCTATTCATAAAGGATCGCTATTCATCTTGTCACAGGTTATGGATAGTGGTCCTTATGAATAATGGTCCTTATGAATAGCAAGGTAAATTGTCTATAGTTTGCTCGCTATTTATAAGGGCCGCTATTCATAAAGGATCGCTATTCATCTTATCACAGGTTATGAATAGCGGTCCTTATGAACAATGGTCCTTATGGATAGCAGGCTTGACCCATCCTGGATAGTTTACCATGAAGACAAAAACTGATTGAAAGTTGAAGGGAAATCCAACCTTAACAGAAAACTACTCAGAGTAGCAAACTGGTGAAAGTCTGAATTATATCCGGCAAAAATAAGAAAGTTATGAATTTTTGAAAGTTTTAAACACTATAGGTATATTGCTCATGCATTTTGTAGGTTAAAAGAAAAATCTAATATACTTCAATGAACTTTGATGTGTATAACACAAACATGAACTGCTCTTTGTTTGATATTTGCATGGAACAGTTTTTTAAAAAAATTCACCAAAATTGGTATTGCTTAATAAGCACCACTTTATTTGTAAATGGAGGACATTGTTGACAAACCAGAAGGGTATGTTGCAGTGGTTAAAAAATTGTGTAGTGCACATTTTGTAGTTCACATACCTACATATAGGCCTGTACTCTTTGGTTTTTATATTTGGGAAACATTTCACTGACCCAATGTGTGTTAGAAATGAGTCTTGAAAGGGTTAAAATCTCAAACTGTGGTTATATCCAGTGAAAGTGTTACATATTTCTGGAGATTCTTAAAGGAAAATATTTCAAAAGTTTGGTTGTTCTCCTAAGAAGTATTTAAAAGTACACTTTGATCGTTTAAAGAATATATGGTTTGATAATTTGCTTTTCTCTAGATAACGAGTCCTGCTATAAGTTGTGTTCATAAAATTATTGACAAAAGACCATTCCACTCAAAGACCTTTTTTTATATTTAATAGAGTTGTGCCGTTCTTGTTCTTATAGAATTATATTTCGGACCCTGTTATAGCAAATATGTGCATTTGAAACATGTATAGAAATTGTATCCTCATAATACCTTAAACATTTGTATGTAGATATAGCAACTTGTGCGTAGAAGTGAAGATAATTTTGTTCTATACCAGTACTGTGAGCTAAGTCAAAGATTAAGTATAGATATTAAAGCCCTATCGCACTAGTTTGGCCAGGAGGGATTATACCTCCCTGCATGGTCACTGACAGGTGGTTATCTCATCAAATCAGTTCTCAATTAACATAAGAAAAACAGGATCATGGGGGACCAACAGGCACCGATTAGGCATTGTTTGCTATATAGAGGGCGTAAGTAGCTATAAGTAGTGCAGTGGGGCTTAAAGTAACATATATGTAAGCTTCAGGATAATATCAGCGCATTCTTTATAATGTAATTACCCTTGTGAACATTTTGTGCCAACAAAGTGTGATGAAATTCTTTTTTCTTCTTTATTTTTTGCTTGGAGGTATTCATTGTCTGTAATCAAATTTTACATTTAAGAAATATCACAAATTATAGTCATATATTACATGAAGTTTTGAAGTGATGTATTGCATGAATTGAAAATATATAAACATATTTTATTTAAATGACAATGTAATAAAGATTATTGGACATTGTTGGTGTTAAAGATATTTACCAAAGTTTACAATTACATCTTTTCCTCCATATTATATATTCCTTATGGAATTATACTCGTGCCATGAATTTCCAGTTTTACAGTGTTGTACAAAATTGCAAATGATAATCATTTCATGAAATATCTCTCTATTTCTGATAGTATTGATTTCAGTTGCAGATATAGTTTATGTTTATAGTTGGGTTTATCTGTGTTGTTGGTCTCTGCACAGTGAATCTAAATAAAATATATTTGATTATAAGCAGGCCTACAGACAGGTGGAAAGAAAGGGAAACGTGTGATAAATTAATTGGGATGAATGTTTGAGAAAATTGTTAGGAAAAATATAGAATATATGCAAAGTGTATTATTCATGATTATTGTTATTCATTGTATTTTAACTGTTTAATGTTTTAAAGGTGATACAAATATTTAAAGAAAATTTGCCTGTAAATAGTTTCAGTGTTTATCTTTATGCAGATGTAGGATAAGTACTATTCCCCAGTTGATCAAATTATTTGTAGAACTTATAAAGTGAATGCATTGAGTGGAATTCTTTGAAATAAAGAAAAATAGAGATTCGCAGCATTGTGTGGACAATACAAATCATGCTTGTACCTGTTTTTTGTATTGTGTTTTGATTATTTCTTTTTCTGAGTCTCTATAAAGCTTCAATACATGAAGACTGCTATGATTTAAGCGAGCATAAAAGGCCTTTTAGAACAATGTGACTGTTTGGATGGGAAGTAGGTTGGTCCCCATTGCAACAACACCAAAAGAAGAGAGGGAAACGTTTCAAAATTATGTCATATAGGCTTGCTTGATTAATTTTCAGTTGACTTTCAGATTTAAAAGTTGAAAGGAACAGTTGGTGAAGATTCAGCATTTTGCATGGGGAGAGGATGTGTGTGTGTGTTTTGTTTTCTCCTCCTCCACCTCCTCCTTCTTCTCCTCCACCTCCTTCTTCTCCTCCTCCTTCTTCCTCTTCTTCTTCTTCTTCTTCTTCTTCTTCTTCTTCTTCTTCTTCTTCTTCTTCTTCTTCTCCTTCTACTTATTCTTCTTCTCCTTCTTCTTCTTCTTCTTCTTCTTCTTCTTCTTCTCCTTCTACTTCTTCTTCTTCTCCTTCTTCTTCTTCTTCTTCTTCTTCTTCTCCTTCTACTTATTCTTCTTCTCCTTCTTCTTCTTCTTCTTCTTCTTCTTCTTCTTCTTCTTCTTCTTCTCCTTCTACTTATTCTTCTTCTCCTCCTTCTTCTTCTCCTCCTTCCTCTTCTTCTTCTTCTTCTTCTTCTCCTTCTTCTTCTCCTTCTTCTTCTTCTTCTTCTTCTTCTTCTTCTTCTTCTCTTCTTCTTCTTCTTCTTCTTCTTCTTCTTCTTCTTCTTCTTCTCCTTCTTCTTCTTCTTCTCCTTCTTCTTCTTCTTCTTCTTCTTCTTCTTCTTCTTCTTCTTCTTCTTCTTCTTCTTCTTCTTCTTCTTCTTCTTCTTCTTCTTACGGTTTGCTCTTAGTGCAATTAAGACGAAACGCATCTTCGATTTTGTTGTACCGATCGCCTTTTTATTATGCCTCCGTTACGAAGTAGCCGGAGGCATTATGTTTTCGGGTTGTCCGTCCGTCCGTACGTACGTCTGTACGTCTGTACGTATGTACGTCCCGTTCTCGTGATCGCGTTATCTGAAGAACCAATTGATGGATTCCTGCCAAACTTTGGTCATGTATGTATCTTGCAGATCCGATGAACTGAATAGATTTTGGGGTCACGAGGTCAAAGGTCAAAGGTCACAGGGCTCATTATGTATGCCAAAACAGCTCGTGATCGCATTATCTGAAGAACCGATTGATGGATTCCTGCCAAATTTTGGTCATGTATGTATCTTACAGAGCCAATGAACTGATTAGATTTTAGAGTCACGAGGTCAAAGGTCAAAGGTCACAGGGCTCATTATGTATGCAAAAACAGCTCGTGATCGCGTTATCTCAAGAACCGATTGATGGATTCCTGCCAAACTTAGGTCATGTATGTTACTTGCAGAGCCGATGAACTGATTAAATTTTGGCGTCACGAGGTCAAAGGTCAAAGGTCACAGCGCACATTATGTATGCAAAAATAGCTTGTGATCTATTATCATTAGAACAGATTGATGGATTTTTGCCAAACTTAGATCATTTATGTATCCTGCAGAGCCAATGAACTGAGTAGATTCTTGGTTCATAAGGTCAAAGGTCAAAGGTCATGGGCTCATTATGTATGCAAAAATAGCTTGTGAACGCATTCTCATTAGAACTGACACATGGATTACTATTTAACTCGGGACATCTTGCAGAGCCAATGAACTGAGTAGATGTTAGGGTCATGAGGTCAAAGATCAAAGGGTCATATATGTATATGAGAAATTGCTTGTAATCACGATATTCTGAGAACCTGTTAATGGATTAAAATTGAACTTGAATTTGAAAAATTTCTTCTGTTTTGGTTTGTAAAATTGCTCTATGACGGAGGCATCATTTTCGACTGCGTGCATGCAGTCGAAGTTCCATCTAGTTTATTATACATTTGAAATATAGGGCTTGCCTACTTTTTAAGAGGTTACTTGCCCCTTTATCAACTTTCCAATTTCTACATTTTGTGAGTGAGGGACAAAAGCGAGCGAGCCTAAAATTTAAAAAAAAATGATTAAAGACAATTTTGGGTTCGTTTAATATATAGAACTATATGAAGTTTGATTAAATGTTGTCATCTAAAAAAAGATACGATTATCACTCAAACAGAGAACACGTCACTGCCCAAACGAGATGAAGAATTTTAGTTTTAAATTTTGTCGGGAATGGGGAGGGGGGCCGGGAGGAGGGGCTATTCTGTATGGACTCAATTAAGCCAAGAGCCATATCATCTAGCGCCCTCGCTTATTTACAGAACCTATATTTGAGGAGGAGTTGCATGAGATCAAGATTATTCAAGTAGTTTTTTAATTTAATTTTCCATTCCCAATTTTGTCCCAATTTTGACAATTCTTGCCAAGAAAGAGTATTATCTCCGACTATCATGCTCTACATGAAGGCCAATAGGCTTTAAGAATTCGTTAATAATGACGAAATTTACAATGACTGCAATACAAAATGAAAGTTAAAAATGAATACAATGTAAATACAATGTAAAACAAAAGACAACTCAATAAATAGCAAAATAAATATAATAAACAGAGGAAGAGCAAAAATAATAATGAAAACAATTAGTATTTCGACTCTTGACCAAGATAACACAATTCGGCTAAAAATATATTTTTATTGATACAAATAAAATACCACAAAGGGTCAGTATTTCGTGATCAGTATTCATTTCCCATTAATATTTCTGCATATCAATATGTGGCCATAAACGACTATAAGTCGTAAACCCATTCACAAATTCCTTTCGTCATATTATAGTTAAGAAGATATATATATATATATATATATATATATATATATATATATATATATATATATGAAGGTGTCGGCAAGAAAATTCAAGTTATAATCAGAAAGTTGGAATTTAAAAGTTAAAGCTCATACATTTGCATTGTTTCTTAAAAGGCTAAAATCTTACACAAGTTTGGACATCGGGATAGGAAGACTGTTAAACATGAGAGTACATTGAGCCTGATTGGAAATGTTAAATGGCACAAAATATTGGCAACGTATCGAATATCTGAAATGCATAGCTGCACAGAAATATTGACACAGATAATAAGATATGAGACATCAAAATAGAAGATATCAGAATATCATGAATACAAAATGAAAAATCAAAAATCGAGTTGCGTGTGATCGTACTAGGTCGGGGTCACCAATTTAGGATTTTGCTAAAACGGCGATATCTTACAATTATCAAAATAGTAGGTCACTAATTATATATAATCACAGAGCATGAAGCATGACCCATCCTTGATATAATCCCCTATCATTTTATTTTCCTTTTCAATGACTTCATTATTGCACCCTTTGGATAAAGCTTTCGGTCTAACCTTTTCTTCTCAATCATCAGTGCATGATTTTCCCTTTGAAACTTTTTTTCCTTGACAATGGCCGTCATTTGCGTGGCCCTATGAGTGAAGATTTGAAGACATTCCGGGCCGTGGGAGTTTTATACAAAGTCATTTAGGCCTGCGGTGATATCTGTAGGTCTATTGAAAAAAAAAACCTCAATAAGTCTGTTCACATTTCTTTCCAGAAACGGCCCTGGTGAAAACCGTGAAATAACATTTCATATTATGTAAAACTAACTGATCGTCCTGTGGGCTACATGAGCACTATAATCGGGGCGGACCAGTATCTTGTCGGGGGAGTGTGTGTTGGGGGGGGGGGGGGCAGGGGGCTATTGTCCGAATTTGAACATTAAATCAACAATTTCTTACAATGGTGACTAGGCTACCGTTATGATTTAGACATTTTCATCCAAACTTAAATAATGATTTCAATAAAAAAAAATTAAAAAATACTTTTTTTCATCATCGCCATGATTGCGATTGCATGTATATATTACCCTTCATTCTAATTTTTCTTGCCTGCAATGAACATTCTTTTTGAGGCCTCATGGTCATTATAGTTTGATATTCGAGTAGTTAGAAAATCCATTTATTTATATATTTTTATGACAAAAAATTGTCAGACTTCACAAGCTTGTAATTTATAAACAAAATAACAGAGGAGTTTATGTTCGATCAATGCCATTACTATTTTATATCAATTAAAGTAACAATATATCTTTTGACTGGAGCCAAGAGCAGATATACAACGTTTTTATATACATGGCTCTGAACAGGGGTGTCGATTTGTATCCGTGGTTAGGGGGATGATAGGTGCCAAAACATTTTCGGCAATGGATCAAAGCAACCAAGAGGTAGAAGCGTGTGGCAGGTTGCACCCGGCCCTTCCCTTCCAAGTTATTCTCTTTTTCAAGTCACCCTCAATAAAGATAACATTTCAGAGAATATGGGACCCATGTGGTTCCCACATGTGCTTGCTACCTGGGTTATTATCCTCTCAAGCGCGTAACCAGGATTTTCTTTTTTTTGGGGGGGGGGGGGCGGTAGTGAGCACGCGAAGCGTGCTCCCTATGGGGGTGGGTGCAGGGAGGGGGTGTTTTATTAAATTATTATAGAAAAAAGGTGATTCGTTGTACCGCAGGCTCGACTCTTAATCTTTGTCTAAATTCAGTTTCTTTTGACGTTTCATTAAATTATTAAAGAAAGAAGACGATTCGTTTTGCCATTCTCGACTCTTAATCCTTGTCTGAATTCAGTCCCCCCCCCCCCCAGTGGCGATTTTCAAATTTCGGGAGCCAAAAAAAAAAAAAAAGTTGGGCCCCCTCCCCTAAGAAATCCTGGATCCGCGCCTGCCCCCCCCCCCCCTCCCTTCCCGCGCAAAGCGCGGAAGGAAGCATTGACGTTTCATTAAATTATTAGAGAAAGAAGACGATCCGTTGTACCGTTCTCGACTCTCAATCCTTGTCTAAATTCAGTTTCTTTTGACGTTTCATTAAGTGTACCATTCTCGACTCTTAATCCTTGTCTAAATTCAGTTCCCCCCCCCCTTCCCGAGCGAAGCGCGAAAGCTTTGACGTTTCATTAAATTAATAGAGAAAGAAGAAGATTCGTTGTACCGTTCTCGACTCTTAAGCCTCGTTGAATTGAGCTCCCCTTCCTCCGCGCGTAGCGCGGAAGCTCTGACGTTTCATTCAATTATTAGAAAAGAAGACGATTCGTTGTACCGTTCTCGACTCTTAAGCCTTTTTCTTCCTACGCCCTCTTTATTTCTTCTTTCTTTCTCTTTTTTTTTGGGGGGGGGGGCGGGACCGCTCCTTCCGTCCCCCTGGCTACGCGGCTGTGTCCTCTCTGTCTCTCATTATATCTCTCTCTCCTACTCTATACTTCTTTTTTTGCTCTTTTGCGCTTCGCGCTTAACATTTAGCACGTTGCTTTTAAACGCTGCGACTTTGCATTTGGCGCACTGCATTTCTATGATGCTGTTGATTAAATAAATTCATCAATTCCTGATGAAGCCGTATGAGCGAGAATTCAATTTATTCTTGTATCATCTACGGTTGTCTCTTCGTTTTCCATTTGTATATGTATGTATAATGAAAATGAGATAGCAAAGTGTGTATATTGATGGTCATCTTGCGAGTAATAACCATTAACTATTCTCACCGGGCTCTCGATCATCATCAATTTTACTCTTCATTTTTTTTTTGATGGTGAATTATTGGGGGGGGGGGGGGGGTGATTGTACAGGCCACCCCCACCTAATTTATTGGGGGGGGGGGGGATATATCCCCCCCCCCCCCGGGAATCGACACCCATGGCTCTGAAGCTCTGCATGAACAGACGAAGCATATAAATACAAAGAGCTTAATTAGAGGTAATTTACATAACAGATTCAAATAATGAACTCAGAAACATCTCCGGGCCCTCGATCTTGCATTAACACAAAATATGTTCAAAAGCAGGTCAGTGTGCAAAGGGCCGGGGTCCCATTACAGCATATTTTGTTTGTACCGCGGAGGGGGAGGGCGGGTAAATATGCCCCCCCCCCCTTAAAAAAAACTCTCGAAGAATTTCATTTATCTGGCACTTCTGTTTTAGCATACATCGTCGTCTCGTATTTTATCAGCAGTGCAAACGATTTTTACACTGCACTACCCGTCAATTACATAACTCGCGCAACCTATATTACACAGACTTGACACGTCTATATTGTCGAGGCCGCTTAGGCAACTACAATTTAGTACCATATTTCCATGCATGCCGTCGTTTACGTACGTACATGTACGTACCACGTAAGTAGTACATGTACAATATTTGGGCCGGGCGCGCGTTTCCGTTTTACACCCTGCCCTAGGCTTTTCGGCAAGAAATTACACGAAACATGCTGTATCCGAAGTCTAAGTTTGTTTATATCGACGTCAAGAATAGCGAAGCCAAAGCTTATGTACAATTTCAATTGGGGATGCGAGGGTCTTCTTGTTCAAGACGGTTTTCCCGATATATTATTGTTTTGTTATCGCTGGGCTAAATTTTGCGAGCTGATCACGCATCCTCACGCTCTTAGAGTATTGCGTATTAATGGATAAAAATAAATGATACGACTAGGAAGATCAACTAGTATAGAGAGTTAGCTAGCGCTACGTGACGTTTTCAGAGTTCTGGTGGTGTGCAGAGCGCCGAGGCAAGATGTGGACGACTAGACTCCGAATACCAGTCGGTTTGTAAAATTTTATTGGAGAAAAGCCTAGGGCAGGGTGTAAAACGGAAACGCGCGGGCCGGGCAGTTTTGCATTGCGGATTGCACTTGCAATTGGAATTCATCTCATCAAAAGTGCTATCGCAAGTGCTCTCCATCTCCTGCCAGCTGGTATCTGGAAAATCTTGAATTACTTGTGAAGATTACGATTTCTTTATTTGTGAAGGTAGAATAAACATCCAGCATGCCACCGAAGAGGTTTCAGACGACGGCCGCCATGGCTTGTGTCAAGATTCTTTTGACAATCTTCATCGTCGTATTTTGGGTGAGTGCTTTCGTTGCTTATTTCACGCCCAGAGCAGAGCGATCATGCATGGTTGACTGTTCGTGTCAACTCTGCCGAGCTGAGCTGGCAAACGGCCAGTGGCAGCACACACCCAGGCCCAGTGCAGTGGCAATGGCATTGGCAAGCTCTGGCATTTGCAGAGAAATTTACCCATGATTTGCATTCTTTTTATTTTTTGTCAGAGAAAAGAAAATATTTATTTTTAGTCAAACTATTTTTTCTTAAGTAGGCGTAGTCTCCCTAGATCTAGAATCTAATCATTTCATCCAATTTTTAGAGCCACAAAATGATTAGAGTCTATAGTATAGGGTCTAGAGACTCTACTAGGTCTAGACTTCTAGATCTTTATAGTTCACAATAATTCATATTAATTATCATTATTAAATATAGGAATAAACTGTGTACAATGTAGCTCATTAACTTGATTGCTCAAAATCGATAATGAGCAGCAAAATGGGGAAAAGGAAATACTTCCGTTGCAACTGCAAGATTCCTGAGGCATTTATTATACATGTAAAGTGGTTAAAACCCTTGATGAGAGATACAATGTACAAATACAAGGGTAAATTGATATTATACTAATATATGAGTTTGTTCCTAATTGATTCCTTAGACTTGAAATGTCCTCACAAAGAGAAAATCTAAACTTCAAATCAATTTTCAATAATTTAGTCCATGTCTAGTATAAAGACACCAAGTTGCTTTGATGGAATGCAAGTGCTACTGAAGTGAAAGGCAGGAGAATGAGAGAAGCCAGATTGGAGAGTTTGAATGAAATCAGACGAAAATTAGGACACGTAAAAATGGGGGAGGGGGGAATAGACATACATGTACATTGTCTGTGGGCAAGCATGAATCTGATGACTGGGGTAATATTCTGTTCAGAGCCAGGAGTTAATGGCCTTCTGGCCCCAAATAGATGATATAATATAGTATTAATGACTGCTTTGAGAGAAATAGTTGTTTTATTACGCTCAAGGGAAGGTTAGAATTGTGCTATTCCCCGAGGCTTGCCGAGGGGAATAGCCCAATTCTAACCTTCCCGAGAGCGTATGAAAACAACTATTTCTCGAATATTAAAGCAGTCATTAATACTTTTATATGCCGAAAAAAAATAGACTAAAAAATGAAAAATTAAAAATATTTATCATTTTTGTCGAAGACGGGATTCGAACTCTTGCGTACAACATGAGGTGTACCGACAACCAACGCTTAGACCACTCGGCTATGGCCCGCCGTTAACATGCTCGGCAGTTTTCTCCAATATATACATTAAAATGGATTGAAACCGGCTTCGCGTGTGATGAATGCTTCGCAAAAGCTCCATATACGGACTCTTCTTTTACTTTTGCAATGCATATTGGCACGAACTTAGATCAAGATCTATCGGCAGATGTTGTTTTTAATACTAGCAGTCATTAATACTTTTATATGCCGAAAAAAATAGACTAAAAAATGAAAAATTAAAAATATTTATCATTTTTGTCGAAGACGGGATTCGAACTCTTGCGTACAACAAAAGGTGTACCGAAAACCAACGCTTAGACCACTCGGCTATGGCCCGCCGTTAACATGCTTGGCAGTTTTCTCCAATATATACATTAAAATGGATTGAAACCGGCTTCGCGTGTGATGAATGCTTCGCAAAAGCTCCATATACGGACTCTTCTTTTACTTTTGCAATGCATATTGGCACGAACTTAGATCAAGATCTATCGGCAGATGTTGTTTTTTTGTTTTTGGAAGTTTATTTTCGTCTTCATGTCAACAATGCAAGATAAAATTGTCGGTAAGATCGATCGAGATTCAATTGTATTGAAATTACCGACCAATCCTTCGCACACATACGGCATCCTCCATCGCTCAAACCATTTTTTAACATGTAAACCTATGGGGTAACCATGGACGCTGACCAACTTTTTTTAATAACCATGGTTATTAAAAATATTGAAATGTTTTATGCATGGTTACCGAGAATTTTACAGGAACAGTTGAAGTTTATGAATGCAATTCGACCAATCAGATGGCTGGATTTCTTAAGTGAGGTATATAAAGTGTGTTCAGTAGACTGTTGAGACTTGAGAATGTTGAGATTCATGTACCATGGATGTTTGTATTATACATCATCATCATCATATTAAAACACTATACATGTAAAGGACTAAAGATGTGTACAGGTGTAGTTCTACATTAGATATAAACCCATAATAAATAGGATAAAATAAATTAAAAATAAATGTGGTGTTTAATAATTACATGAATACATGTACTGTTCATAATTGCAGACTAATAAAAACAATAACCTACAAATGTACATGTTGTATGTATTAAATGTAGATAATATTATTTTATTTGAATTTTTAGTAGGGGTATCAACTATTTCCAGTATTCCACAGCCTTATTATTGTTGATGGTACCTGTATGGTGAAATGACAGGACATACAGTACAATACAGAGAGAGAGAGAGAGAGAGAGAGAGAGAGAGAGGGGGGGGGGGGAGGGAGGAAGAGAAATCGAATGAGAGGAGGGAGGAAGAGAGACAGGAGGAATGAGAGAGAGAGAGAGAGAGAGAGAGAGAGAGAGAGAGAAAGAGAGACTGAGAGAGAGAAGGGGTGTCGGGGAGGGGGGAGGTAGAGGGGGAGGGGGGAGGTAGAGGGGAGGGAATGAGAGGAGGGAGAAAGAGAGGGGGAGGGAAGGAGAGGGGGAGGTAGGTTTGTTTAACCTGCCTGCCTGGATGGTAGGGAGAAAGAGGGAAAAAAATCAGAGAGCAAGTAGAAAAACCCCAGCTTATTTCTATATTACAAAGCATGTGAATATTAGTTAGTTGACATTGTGATAAGATCTGTGTCAAAAAGTTCCGGTCTGGTCCACTTGGCGTAGCCTGTTGAAAAGATGAAAGAAATGAAGGAAATGGTAATCTCGCATAACTTTGTTTGCTCCATTCTGTATTAAGGGGATGAATAGAAAGACTTATTTATTTCACACTGCCTGATCCAGGTATGGTGTTGTCACTTGTCAGTGCAAAATATAGCCATCAATCTTTTATTAGTATTACTATGTTCTAGGAGTAGGACAGGTACATGTACATTTACATGTAAACAATACACATAGACTGCTCTGATTACGTCAAGTTTATTTCTTTGTACCACCATTGGTGTACATTGTGTATGTACAGTACATGCATGATTCTTATGGGGAGTTGCAAGAAAGTTGCAATCAATTTTAAATCCTCAAAATCAAGCGTAAGTCTTGCGATTGATCGCAACTCAACTTTCTTGCAATGCCCCATTAGTAAAGGGGGAGAGAGAGAGAGAGGAGCTAGATTTAGCTAACTTTAATTTAATGGTTAAAACTTTAATCCTAACAAATTCCTAGGAAATTTAGGAGAATTAGAGGAGCGTTGCAAGAAAGTTGCGATTGATTGCAATGCAACTTTCTTGCAACGCCCCATAAGTGAGTGGAAAAAACAGGTGGGGTCAAAAGACTTATTTTTAAGAGAAAATAAATGTCATATCCCAGAATTGCATTGCAGTGGAGGGCTTCAGAACTCCTATTCAGAACTATGTTTTGGAGGGGGTTGGAGAGAGGGGGAGGGGGGGGGGGGAAGCTTGAGTGGTTTGTATAAAGTCTGTGTTAGAGGGGAGGGGGGGGGGGTGGGGACTGTTTAGAAATCTGCCCCTTTTGTGCCCCTGGATTTTCCACTGTATACAGATCAGTAGGACTTATCATTATCCTTGGAGAGTGTACATAAATAGGCAGTTGCAGGACAACCAAGGCCAACTCAAAATGGATAAATTTGCTGAGAAATAACTCATGTTTGAGACTCAGGAAGATTTTAAACATCATTCAGATACATGTAGGTACTCTGTGTATAAAGGAGTGTAGTTCAGTATCTCCATGCTTCTGGCTTTTTTATTTAAAAAAAGTTAGGGTTAGGGCAAGGGTAACAATTGAGTTTTAGAGTGGGCCTAAGGTGATGTTGATTTTTTCATGTATTATAGGCCCATTTCGTCGTAGGTAAAGTGTTAAATTTTGTCCAATTTCATTCAAGCTTTCACCAGTTTAAATCTGATTTTTTTTACTTCTTACCTCTAGAATAATTTGCTATCAAGGTTAGATTTCCTTTAAATGTATTAGTATTAATTGTTATTGATGCAAAATACACATACATGTAGGCTGGTATGTAAATTCAGTTAGATAAAAAAGGAAAAAAAATTGTGAAAAAATGCTGTGGAAAGAAACCGATACGACATTGTACATGGAAATTGTACTAGCACTTAAAGCAGGGAAGTTGGCATTTTGTGCTGGCATATGTAGAAAATGAGTTGTGGCGATGATGATAACAACGGAGATGACCTTTGTGAAAGTAAGGGGGATTTGTAGCGGAAAACAGATGGAATCAAGTTGAATCTGTGATGCGATCTCCCATCAACTTGGCAGTGGCCATCTGTTGTCTAGGGTGTGTGTGTGTGTGTATGTGTGTGCTAGCTGATACAGAGAGTAGATGAGAAGAGTCAGTTGTAGTAGTCTGCGTGCACAAACCTTTGTCAGTCTTTCATAACAGTAGAGTCTGCTCTGTGAGACTATAATTGCATGGTCTACTGCAGCACATAGGCTCTGTACTTTAGCTGCTCCCCCCATGCAGACAGAGATTCGCAGAGTTATGCTCAGCTCAAGGCCCGTTTGGAATTGTGTTAGAAGCGTCGAATGGAATCTGCGCCTGGCCGCCTGCAGACTAGAGCCCAACAGTCTGTGACTTGATTATTAATCATTTGAATTAAACAAGAAATATGTTGATCCAACAAGAATTAATTCAATGCCATTTCTGTACTTTTAAAATGTTAGGTCTAAAAAGTAAGTATGCTATAATATTAATCTCATCAAAATTTTGTCAAGAACACTATTATTTTCAGAAGATAAGATGTGTTATATACCTCACTTAAGAAATCCAGCCATCTGATTGGTCGAATTGCATTCAT